AGAGATTCTTGGATCAAGCTCTATAAGAAGGAACCTCACACTGCTCAGCGGTAACAAAGAGGACTGGGTTAAGTAAGTAGATGTCTATTTCTGTACCAATCTACCAAGATGTTTTAATAAATTTGGAAGTACATTACCTTAAGGTAGATAGAATTTCCCAACTATTTTAGTCAGGTTTTTTTTTAAATTCAAATATTTTTTTTAAAATATCATAATACTATTACAATATAAAAGATCTTAGATTTTTTTTTTGTTTCTTTAATTTATATTTATACTTATTTTTCAATATTCCTTACAAATTTTTGTTGCCTTCAAATATGTTTCATTATACTAATGTTATACGTAACTTCGTATCAATACTGTTCACAACAGGAAATCTCCAAAACAAATAACTATGTATCTATCATGATATTTATATTATTTCAAATGGTCACATTTGGTTTGTTTTCTTTTCAATGGACACCATGTCAAGTATTAATTTATCGTGTTTTATAATTTTTTAAGGATAATCATAAAACTAGATAACAATTATACTATAAAATCAAACAAAACATAATTAACATTATTAATTATACCACAAAACAAGAAATAATTTTTAAATCCTATATCCAATCACATTTTTAACAAAAACCTGTACCAATACAACCCAAGAATGGTTTTGGATTCAGAAATAAGTAAGAAAACACTGTTTCAAGGACAATGGTTATGAAGAGGTGTTGCAGAGCCCAGATTAAACCCAATCGCCAGATTTTTCCCCTTAATTAATAAGTTAATTAACAGCACCCACTTTATAGAGGCTGGGTATGCCCTAAAAAGTACTCCTTAGATGGACTCAAAACTGGAACCTTGAAGATAGGAGCGCAGTGCCTAACTCACTGAGCTACCAAAAAAAAAAAAAAACATTTTTAATATTCTATTGTATTTCTAACAAAGTAAATAAAGATAAATTTTCTCTATGATATAAAAATCTGAGACTGCCAAATGGTGAGGTGTTGTTCTTATAGTTATGTAACTGTTGACCTAATTTTTAACCAATTCCTAATAAATTAAATACAGAACTAATAATAGTAGTTTGAAGAGGTTTGTAAAAAGTATGTTATTTTACAAATCTTGCAGTATAAGCTAACCTCAATAACAAAAACAACTTTTTACATAAAATTATAATTATCAAGTCGATCAATGAACTAGAAATCACATAATATTCAAGAATCAATTTATACTCTCCTAGTATCCAAGAACATAATAAGTGTAATAATTTTTAACAAAACCTGAGCAATAATCTGCAGATATAAATACTGTTCTTAAATAATGCAGTTTACTAACATAACCTTCCATCTTACTTAGTTTTACTACTTGCAATTTTAGTGAAAATTTTAGTAAAATATTATTGGACTGATTCATTTTCCTTTAACACATTTGTTTCTTAAATAAGCCATGTATTATGTCCATCAAAGTTCTTTAATATACCTATTCCCATCATATGTGACTACAGCATGGTAGTCTTTTGTCTTATATCAGCTTGCAATTAAAGGCTGCACCAAGTTGATTATTATCTTCTTCCAGATATATTTTTTTCTGAAAGCACTTGTGTGTTTTATATATATATATATATATATATATATATATATATATATATATATATATATATATATATATATATATATATATATATATTAATTAATCATAATGAAGACATTTTATAAACAATTATAAGTGGCCATTCCCTCACTTCAACCTTTAATGTTTTCATTATGTAAAAAAATTGTGTATGGCTTTCCAAGGAAACAATGTTTAATTGGCCAATGTTTATGCTTTAAAATTAAAATTTTGCTCTGATTATCATCATATAAATAGGCAAACACAAATCGGTTCAGCCCCTTTAACTGCTCTATTATTCAACCGATTTTCTTCATTATTTTTTTGTTTAATAGATATTGACGAGCTTTAGTGTTATCAATAAATAAAAATATTAAATATTATGTGAATAAAATATAAATGGTAGTTTGTTCAAAACGGCTTATCTCCGAAAATTCTTCACCGATTTTTTTTAAATTTTGACACAACATCGCAATAATATTACGAAGTATTTTACTATACGTTTCATTATCATCGGGCCTTTCCTTTCGAAATGGCGGCCGAAAAACGTGATTCGCTTTAGACTGTTGCGAAAATACGGCTTCAACGATTTCAATGAAACTTCCCCTTGAAACCTCTATAATTTATGTATATAACATACCTTACCGAAAACAAGCTGCATACATTTTTATGATGAATTCAGTATTTTATTTGCGAATAACTCAAAAAGTACACATTTTTTTTATTGAAAGCTTCCTGAATTCTCTACAAAATGAAAAACAAATCATCGAAATCGGACTATTTGTTGCAGAGATATATCATTTAAACATTTAGTACGTTTTCTTTCCCTTCCAAATTTGATTTCTTTTATTTTGTTTTTTTGATAAATCGAAAACTTTTCATTTTCTGAGGTAATTGGGTCTATTATTTGAAGAGATGATATCAGGTAATGTTAGTGGAATGATACTTAATAGATTAAATTTAAAAATATTTTCTATAGTTATAATCATTGTTAACTTAAATACTGCACAAGCATTAGTTAATGGAACAGGAATGAGACTGGAGTATCAACGGGGGCTACTTTAAATTAAAGAATTTTAATTCCAAGAATTAATTTAACATTTTCTGACACTATACTTACATTCGACTTTCAAAGAACAACGTTCCTATTAATAGCTACATTTGCTATGACCATAATCAAATCTCAGGATAAAAGTTTTGGAAAAATTTGTATATTATTGTGACGTCCAGTTATTTCGCATGGACAATTATATGTGGCAGCAATTAGAGCACGTTCATTTAAAATATTTAAATTTATATTTTCAATGGCAATGGGCCTATGTACTAAACAATAACAGAACATTCAAATAAAACATTATTTATATAGAAGTTTTGGATAAAAATGGATTTAAAGTGAATTTAAATTGCTAAATTAAATTATTTTTTACTTTCTTAATCATAACATTAATTTATTGTTATAATAACACACATAAATTAAAATGAAAATTAAATATGTTTGAATGAGTGTATTTCGTATTACTTATAAATAATTTTAAATGACTTGAGCTCGATTTTTAATTGAAACTGAAATTTTTTTTGTATTAATAAAGAGGATTTTTGAATCGTGATTTACGCTTTATTTATTTACTTTATTTTTTATTTAATTATATCTTTTCCTCAAATTTTTAATGTCTATGGTCGAATTTCAACCACTGGGTGAACACTAGTTAATATAAATTAGATATTAGTTAAAATGACCTCCAAGAGAATTGAGATGGTTGATTTTTACATTTATGTTAAACAATAATCAATGATACTACATACAATCATGCAAACAAAAGAATTTTATAAAATCAATTATTGCCAGTATACATTGATTCCTTATGCTTTGGATATACCAGTTGCCACATATTGCTGAAGGTGTTGTTGTAACTTCACTTTAATAGTGTTTTAAAATCAATTTTATACCTAGGATATTTAAATTAAAACTCAAGATATTTTTTTCACGAATATTGCTTGGTAATACTCAGAATAATGTAGCTTCATTAGATTTGAAACTATTTCAGAAATAGCTCACCAACTTGTTCATGAGTAGAATGACAATGTTTATTCATTTTTAAGAAATACACTTTTTCTACAAGATCTCCAATCAAGAACCTATCTTTCTAAAATGAAGATATAGTAGTCACTGACACTGTAACGAACCAATGTTTTATTATTTGATGGGACAGCAAAATGATTAGTTATTACCAGCGATTGAAATTTTTTTTTAAATTTCAGTTTTTGTGAAACTTTTTAGGAAATGTTTTTAAAATAAAAGATCTAAGGAACATTTTTGTTATAAAATTCTATGTTTAAGATAAAAGTTCAACCATTATTTATTGAAGTTCTTAAAAAAAAATTCCATTAAATGAGAAATTAACAGTACTTGGGCTTAGATTGGAGTTACAATTTAAATTGAATTAATTACTTGATTCTAATGTGTCATTTGTTTGAGTGGCTAAAAATAAAATTCATTTTTTTATAAACCTTTTGTTGAAATCAACAGAATTTTTAAATAAACACTTTTTTTAGTATATAAATTCTGTAAAATCTTTACTTGAAAAGTTACAAGCTACACAGTTCTGAAATAACAAAAAAAAAAATTGAAAATAAAGTTCTAGTCAGACAGAAACTGATTAAAAATAAAAGTTAAAATTTCATTCCATGAACTATTTATTACCAAATCATTACTATTGTATTCAATAAAGTATATATTACTACTAGGAGTTGGTCGTGGGGAGGAAGAGTGAGGTCAAATAAATACTAAATTTTTACAATAGTATTTTAATGGTTACACTAACGTTTCAACCCACTTTGTAGATCTTCATCAGGGTGTTGTATAGGTCACTACAAGTAGCAGTTGATGAAATTAGCATAAATAGCAGTTCAACTGCTACCTGCAGTGGCCTATACCAAACCCTGATGAAGACCTACAAAGTGGGTCGAAACGTCGGCGTAACCATTAAAATACTATTGTAAAAATTCAGTATTTATTTGACTGCATCTCCTGACCAACTCCTTCCCATATTATGTCACGGTCAACCACCTCTACATCATTATATATTAGAATGCCTTTAAGAATCATGGGCTCAGAAATACTCTTTACTATAACCAATACATTATAAATCAAATGTTACTAATTAACTGTTATGTACACTCACAAATTACTCGTGTCAGTTCCAAAACTTATATTTTACATAAAAACTACAGTCATTGATCAAGCAAGCTCAGGTATTAGGTATCTTACTGAAATTGTTTTTTTAATTACATTTTTTTCAAACCACAAAGAAAAAAAAAGCTTCCAACAGTTATGGGAATATCTAAATCCAAAAAAAAAAAATTTATCTGAGGGAATGAATAGAAGGTAATGAAAAATCACAAAGTGGCTTATAAGTATTTATTGGATTAATAAAAAATATATATAATAAATCATATATTATTTAATAAATTAGACAAATGCTTTTGGAAAAATTTCAGTTTTAAATTACACCTATCTCGAAAAAAAAAATCTATATAAAATAAAATTCCCATAAGCATAACATAAAAAATAACTGGGTTGCTTAAATTAAAACATATAACTTAAATACTTTAAAAATGTTTCATAACATCATTTTATACAGCAACACTTGTACTTTAAATACTTTAATTAAAATCTGATACATATAAAAGATTGATTATTGCGTAACCAAAATTTTCCCAAGCAGCTAGTCAACTAATACAGTTCATATGATATATACTTTATGTTCAATGTTTGATTCTGTACAACATCTGAGAGGAAACAGTGTGCTTCTCAAATATATTTATATATTTTTTTTACCCGACTACAGAAATAATCAGTTCGCAAATATCTGGATTTGGAGAGCGGACTGTAAGTTGCATGGCAACGCCTGGGGAATTACCCATGGCCAGTTTAGCTCTAGCTAACACTTCAACTCCACCACGGAACATGCCTAAAAAATAAAAAGGAAAATTTATTAATGAGAGCAAAAATTAAGTTTAAAAAATTACTGAAAGCATACCATTTGAAGATTCTAAACCAAAGACTTAAATTTTTAAAGTACAATTAAACAACTTAATTAGCTAATTCAGGCATTATAGGGACAGAAAGCATAATAGAGCTGGTAAATAACTCCAAAACAGTTTACTATAATCATTTAACATATATTCTTATTATACTTCGTGGTACAGACCCCTTTGTATCGAATTATTAACATCTGCCTGAAACTTTGTAAATAGTTTCATTTCATTGTAACTTACAACTATTTTATTTACGAAAACTCTTGGAATTGGGGCGTTTTCAATCTGGAGGGAGCAAACTTTGTCTATTTAATTAGGTACTAAAAACTCATATATACCCATTTGCTTTCTACTTGGATCGTAAGATAATTCGATCAAAAAATTGATAAAAAATGTGGCCTACAAAAATATAGGGCCGTTTGTCGTATATAACCTCGTTATTTTTAAAATTTGGGGGTGTAGGTCACGCCAAACGGCTCAATATTTTTGAAATCCACCTTTTTTCTCGACTTTGTGATCAAATTATCTTATGATCCAAGTAGAACGCAAATTGTTATTTACGAGTTTTTATTAGCTAATTAAATAGACAAAGTTTGTTCCCCTCCAGATTGAAAACGCCCCAATTCCAAGATTTTTCGTAAATAAAACAGTTGTAGATTACGATGAAATGAAACTATTTACGAACTATCAGGCAGATGTTAATAATTCGGTAAAACGAGGTCTATACCAAGGACTATAATATGTCTGTGAGATACATGCTAAACTCACTTGAAGTCATTGGTTAGTCTTTTTTTATTTTTTGATGTAAGTAAGATATGCTAATACACATATTTTAATTTTGACTGAATTGGTAAAAGTTTCTAAATAAATCTAAAACTATCTTAAAAAGGAAAAATATTAGTTAAAGCCGTTTCTTAAGACATTAGACAATATATATTTACAAAGAAAGAAGATGGTCTGGGGTTGCGGTCATAAATAGGCTAAATAGTGGTAAAACTATTTAGCCTATTTATGACCGCAACCCCGGACCATCTTCTTCCTTTATAATGCAACGGTCAACTATTAAATATTTAATATATATTTACATGTTAGTAGTATACATATGATAAAGTCAGGCATATAATGGTGTGTTCATAAAAATAATCTTTACATGTATTGTTGATTTATCGTAACAAGTCACTAAGTACATTCTTGATGGAGCTAAAATTTTTAGTGAGTTTATATGAATTATTATTTTTTTTTTGTGAGAAGGAGTTAGTCGAGGGTGCGGTCAAATAAATAAAAAATTAAAATATATTAATTATTTTAATTTTTGCCGACGTTTCGACCCACTTTGCAGGTCGTCTTCAGGGCTACAAAAGATACAAAACATGTTGAAAATAAAAAATAAATATAAGTATATATAAAATAAGAAGAAGTTGTCAGATACAGAAATAAAAGATGGTATCAGAGATATAGTGGGTGACAATGTAGTTAAATATTAAGAATTATATATGTAGAAGATACAAATAAATGGAAAATAAGTAGGAATAAAAATAAAAATAAGGGAGAATATAGCATGTAAGTTAAAAATAAACAGATTGCGATAAAAGATAAGGAATAAGTGTATAACAAACTAATAGAGATTACATTAGATAACTGTGGGTTAACAGATAATGGAAATAAATACATAAATGTTAACGAATAAATATTCATTCGTTAACATTTATGTATTTATTTCCTTTATCTGTTAACCCACAGTTATCTAATGTAATCTCTATTAGTTTGTTATTCACTTATTCCTTATCTTTTATCGCAATCTGTTTATTTTTAACTTACATGCTATATTCTCCTTTATTTTTATTTTTATTCATTTTTTATTCATACTTATTTCCCATTTATTTGTATCTTCTACATATATAATACTTAATATTTTACTACATTGTCACCCACTATATCTCTGATATCATCTTTTATTTCTGTATCTGACAACTTCTTATTTTATATCTACTTATATTTAATTTTTATTCTCAACATGTTTTGTATCTTTTGTAGCCCTGAAGACGACCTGCAAAGTGGGTCGAAACGTCGGCAAAAATTAAAATAATTAATATATTTTAATTTTTTATTTATTTGACCGCACCCTCGACTAACTCCTTGTCATATTATATCAACGGTCAACCATCTCTACATTATTATTTTTTTTTTTTATTACTTTAATTCTGACAGATTACCTCCGAGGTAGACAGTGTGTGAAGATTTATCAGGCTGTACCCTGTCGCTCCTGTCAGCAGGCTGCATCCCCATGAAACTGACAACACTCCTCACTGCCTCTTCGAGGCTGTTTATTCCTGACAAGTTATAAGTGTCCTCTAGCTCACTATACGATTCGCCTTCCTCCCATGCAGCACCGAAGTTGCTCTTCGTAAGCCGCTGCATTTGGTCAGCAAGCATCACTTCGACATCTTCAAGCTACAACATAAATATAAACTTAAATTTGTAATATGCAGCTTTGATTTGCTTGATTAATTATAAGCTAAAAGTCATCATACTCAATAAATATTTAGATATTAAAAACTTCCCAGTCCGCTGGTGTTCCTCAAGGTAGTATCCTAGGTCCTGTCCTCTATACAGTTTATACAGCTGACATCCCTACCTATCCCAACACTGTTATCACCACATATGCCATTGACACATGTATCCTATCAGTAAATAATGACCCATCAATTGCATCCCAAATGCTTCAATCACACAACATAAATCTTGAAGAATGGTGTCAAAACTGGAGAATTAAAATAAACTCCAATAAATCCCATCAAATTACCTTTACCCTTCGTCGTAAACCAACGACTGCCTGTCCTACAGTTTCCTTTAACAATACTCCACTTATCCCTGTTGAGCAAATCCGATACCTAGGACTCCACCTGGACAAACAACAAACTTGGAATCCTCGTAATAGATTGAAACGACAAGAAACCGCTCGACGTTTCCGATTACTTCATCACTTACTAGACAAATGCTCTAAACTTCCCATTAGTTACAAAAAACTCATATACTTGACTATAATAAGACCTATTTGGACTTACGGAGTTGAGCTATGGGACTCCACTAAATCATCGAATTCCTCTCGCATCCAATCCTTACAATCCAAAATCCTTCCTAAAATCCTCAATGCTCCTTACTTTGTCACTAATAAAACCATCCATAATGACCTTAATGTTCCTTATGTTTCAGATCTGGCCCAATCCAGATACCTATCCTTCCATAATAAACTTCAGAATCATCCCAACCCTCTCGTTTCTAACCTTGCTTCCTCTTCAATTCCTGATAACCCTCCGAGGCGTCTGAAAAGAAGATGGCCCCGTGATCTCCTAATGTAGTCATATCATTAGAGTGCTACCATTGGGTAGTTACTCAGCAAGTGTATTCATGTCATTATATCTATTATGTCCAAATTTACTAGATGTATTTATTTAATACAGTTGTAAGTGTCATTAAGAAATAAAAAAAAAAAAGATATTAAAAACTAAGATAATGGAAAAATAATAAATATATAACTACAAGAAAAGTGATAGAGAAAAAGTGAAATTAACAAATACAACATATCGGAACCAGGGAATTATCAAATGATGAAATTAGTCCAGCAAATACTTAAGAAACATCTTATCATTCCCATATATTAAAAAAGGTACAACAAATTATTGTCCTCATTGATAACATTCCAATCAAAGCTCTACTTCAAAATGTCTTGTGGCCATCTTTTCATATGCCTTAGAGATTTATTTATAAGGTGAAACTGATTGGGAAGAAAGATTAGAACCTTGCAAATTTGTGAGAGTTCCTAATGATAAAAATAAAAAAATTGGTGTTTAAATATCCTTACCATATAATCTTCTTCATAACCATCATCTGAGTTAGGGATACCGGTCATTGGGTCGCAATCCTTTACAACAAACCTCAGAGTAGCAGCAAAGTTTGCTATTAAAGAAACACAGTATATTTTTAAATAAATTGAAAAAAGGTATTAAAACAATTTGTTTTCAATGAATTTGAGGAAAATTTAATAAAGAAAAATAAACATTGACGAAAATCATTCATAGATCCTGGTTCAATAATATTTGATTTTATGAGGAGGAGTTGATCGGGGGGTGCGGTCAAATTAATACTAAATTAAATAAGTAGAATTATTTAATTTTTTCCGACGTTTCGACCCACTTTGTAGGTCTTCATCAGGGCTACAAAAGATACAAAACATGGTGAAAATAAATGAATATAAGTAGATAGTTATCTACTTATTATAAGTTATAAGTTAATCTTAGACTACTTATTATATTATTATTAGTTATCTACTTATATTCATTTATTTTCACCATGTTTTGTATCTTTTGTAGCCCTGACGAAGAGCTACAAAGTGGGTCGAAAGGTCGGCAAAAATTAAATAATTCTACTTATTTAATTTAGTATTAATTTGACCGCACCCCCTGATCAACTCCTTCTCATATTATATCAACGGTCAACCATCTCTACATCATATTTGATTTTAATTTAGTCAACTTAATATATATAAAGAATTTAGAGTGAGAGTATTTTAATTACAACTTATATGTAAAACATACAGTAAGATGAGAAGTACATAGGAGCTCTACAAGGTTTTCTTATTTTGCCACAATAAAATAATAGAGAAAAAAATTGAAAATTTCCTACAACTAGATATTTTTCAAGAATAAAATGATATATTTTCCTACATGAAAAATTAAAGAAGAATTCTCCATCTCATTAGCATTGCTGTAAAAAACAAGCTAAGTCCCGAAATACCAGGTTTTTGCACCAACCAAAATGGTTGAGTTCCTATTGGGTGATAGGTTGATTTCTTATATGAGAGGACTAAAGTTATATTTATACTCATTTTTTCCATGAATCGAAACATGAATATTGTTCTCAGATAAAAAAACATTAAAACAAAAATCTGAAGTTTTTTATAAGTTGCTAAAGTATTGATAAAAATCAAATTAATGTTACAATATATAAAGGAATAAAAAAATCATTCAATTTCTAAATCTGAATTAAAATCAAAAGGAATATTAACATATATTACAACTTACTGACAGTAAGATTAGGGGCATCTGGAAATTGCAGGGCAATATAAGTAGGTGATGTTTCCGAACAGGCTAATCTTTGGCAGGGGACCTCAGCTACGATCTGGTAACCTTCGCTCACTTCTAACTGCACTCGAACTTTCTCTAGTAGCTGGTCACTCATGGTATTTGTACAGTCAAACTGAGAAAGCAAAACTTGATGATGGCATGTTATGATATAAATATGAAAAATAATATATATAAAAATAAAATATATATATATATATATATAAAGTGTATTATAAAGTTATCTGTGCTTGGGTATGCTGATGACTAGGTATCTAAGTCTTAGCATTTCGATTACAACACTTTTCTAAATGTTTACGCTACCATTATGAGTATTATTCTACATATCTTATAGATATGTAGAATTCTTATAGATGTATCTTATAGATCCCTATACATATAAGGAACAGCTGAAAGTCAGTAATTAACTCTATTTAGTTTTTCTTTAATTTTTTTTCATTACAATGATAAACAAAATACACAATAAAAGAATATTTAAAAAAATGACATACATACCACAACTTACAAAACAAATTAAAAAAGTATTCATGAACTATGACCTACCGGAAATTCAGTTTGGCATATATAACAACAAAAAATTAGGTAAATACTTCACTAACACAAAAGACAAAATATAACCACTGGACAAGAAAAATGTTGTTTATAAATTAGACTGCCAACATTGCCAACAAATATATATAGGTGAAACATCAACAAAACTAAAAACCAGAATAGTACAACATACGTCAAACTGCAAAAATAGTAAAAACATTAATATAACAGCCCTAGCAAACCATAGTATTAAATCACTACACACTTTTGACTTAAAAACCCACAAATACTAGCAATAGAACCAAAAACAAATAATAGGAAACTGCTGGAAGCCATACATATAACAAAAAACAATAATAGTAAACTATAAAACAGAAACAAAACATTTAGGTACACACTATTCGGAGATAATATCCAATATTGAAATTCAAAAAACAACAATAGCCAAAAAAAAAACACAACAAACAGCCATAATAAGAAATAAGAGGACAGGTACAAAGTACAGAAATGAAAGTGTAGATAGCCAGATGTTGGTTAGTGTAACAATGAATAAGAAAAGATGTGTAACAGCAAAAAAATATAAAATGAATGTGACAAATATTTGAATTTTTGACAAATGGTGCCACTTCAAAAAAAAGAAAGGTAAATAATTGTACAATAGATGAAGTAGAATGATATTGTTAAAAAAAAGTCAATATAAAATGTGCATAATTTCAGTGAAGATAAAGACTGCTCTGATGATGGGAAAATTGTCCCGAAACGTTACTGTTACTGTTAAGCGAAGACATGGAAACAATAAAACTAAATACAACAACGTTGATGGAAACCGGACTCTATGTAACTAGGACTCGAGATAAATATGAATAAGACAAAATATATGGTTAACTGCAAAAACAGCGACAATTTCGATGAAATCGATATAGAAAGGAATATATTTGAACACGTACAGAATTTTAGGTATCAATGGTTTACGATAACTAGAAAAAACAAAATTGAAGAGGATATTAAGGATAGGCTGAAGGGGGAAACGCTTGTTATTTTTCTTTGTCAAAACTACTTAGTTCATGCCTGCTATCCCGAAACTTAAAAATTGGAATTCACAAAACCATTATCCTACCTACAGTTCTTTATGGATGCGAAACATGGCCGTTTACATTAAGGGATGAGCAATGTCTTAAGGTTTTTAAAAATAAAGTATTGAATTTTTGAACTGAAAAAAGAGGAGTCAACAGGAGAATTTAGGTGGTTACACAATGCTGAATTGCGTGAACTGTATCCGGTTGAGGCAAATAAAATGGACATGTAAAATCACTGGGCTTAGTAACAAAAGAATTTCTAAAAAGTTAATATGTGCTGGCACCGACTGGCAAGCGTCTGAGAGGTAGACCGAAGAGAAGGTGGGTAGATTGTGTTAAGGCTGATTTGGCGAGGTTGGGTTTAGACGGAGCCCGATGGATGAAAGAATGTGGACATTGATTGGTGGTATTGGCATCGAACCTTCAGGTTCGCTAAGCCTTATTGTTATTATTATTTGTTATTATAAAGTATAATATATTTACAAACTAATACAAATAATACCTGAAGAACAATATGATTTTTGAAAACATGCTTCGTGACTCTAACTTGATATTCTGTCTCAGATTCTGTAAGACTGATAGGATCGGAACTTTTGAAGAGTGGACCCTGAATCCAAGAAAGTTCTGGAATAGCTCGAAGTCTATCAGAAGCACTCTCTTCTTTGGAGACCGCAGGACGTCCCAAAGCTGAAAAGTAGCAATAAACAAATTAACTTTTAGAAACAATAAGTTTGACAAATTAATAACAAAGCTCAAAAATAAGAATGAATAAATTAACTTTTAGAAATAATGAGTTTGATAAATTAATAATGAAGTTCATCAATTTGAATCACTGAACAGACTATTAACTAAATTCATTCTCTCTCATGGATGTAGGATATTTTCAATGATTTGCTCACCCTGTCATCACTACCTGACTAGATGACTTCAGAAGAAAGATAATAATTGCATTGTTTTACATAACAGAGAATTTTTTGGGCTATTATGATTCTACTCTATCTTCTCATTTTTGCATCATTTGTTTAGATTTAATTTTATCTAACAGAGCCATGATGTTTTCTTTTTTTTTTTTTTTTTTCTTTTGGTACAAAGTACCTTCCTGATCAAAATGCTTTGGCCTCCTCATCTTGAGTTGAATAACAATGAAACCAGTAGTTAAGAAGTGGTAAGCATTGGAACTAAAGTATTAACTGGCAATAGTAATAGTGGAGGCGAAAAAATTGTAACAATTGAGTCCACTGTTTGTTTTTAGCAGCTCCAAAATAAATAATAATTACTGGTAATCTATAATTCACCAGTCTTGAACTGTTGATTTTCCTAATAAAATGGCCGATCATTTAGTGGAGGAAGATTTATGTTTCTTATTTCTATCTGAGCCCAGTAGACTACTATTGAGACATGCGTTTATCAATGTAATATAAGACACTCAGATACCCACCAGGGTAAGTGATGGGTTCTATTTCCAACTACCACACAGGTAATTTTTAAGTAATGTATACAGTGGTCTATAACTATTGTAAAAATCAATTGAATTTCATTTCTTTATAGATCTAGCAGCAGCTACTTGATTCTACAAGGAAACATTTTTTTTTTTTAATAGCTGCTCAATTTATCTACTATATCAATCAAGATCCAAACATTTAGCTTGAACAATGTGTTTAGACATCAAGAGGAGTGAATGTGGGGAAGCTAGAAAAAGAGTAGGAAAACGCTTAATGTTTCAGGCATAAAAAAAAGAATAAAATTTATAGACATCAAAGTGATCTACAACGCTCAAATGAAGGTTGAAATATTTATTATTTGAAAGAAAATGTTTTTACCCGCTAATGGTTCCTGTACAACAGTTGGAGCAGCCTGAACTTCGTCGGATAGAGGAGGGGGTGCCAACGGAACAGAACTCAAGTCAAATACTTCTTCTGGAGTTTCCATCAAATGCAGCATTAAGGCTTTTTCTAAACTGGAAACACACACCTAAATCGAAAAAAAGAACACATTATATACACGAACATGCTTAAAAATCTGAAGATAAAACTTATGAATTAGTAAGTTATTTAGTGTGGAAATTAGTCTAGACAGGCTAAAGTTTTATACACTAAAAATTTTTTGATACTTTTTGTCTAGCCACTGACTGCTATCTGCCAATGTTTATAACCTGAACACTGATAACTCCCATAACGCAGTGATAAGCCTTCTCCTACTTCATATCTTCGTATTATTGTATTAAATTCATATTATTGAAAGTGTAAACAGATACAAAAACAAATATAATAACAAAAAAAAAACTTTTATTTGACGACACATATATTAATGAAATAATAAAAAAAACACTTTAAGAAGATATGTACATATAAAACATCAAAATGAAATAATAAAAGAACATATTTACATAGAAAAGAAAAAATATCAACACTATAAACAACATATGTACAAATTATTTTCACTTAATTATTCACTTCCTTTTGTCTTATTTATTTTGGAAGGCAAAATTGTTTTATGCTATTTAAAATAGCGAGAAACGGGTCCTCTTCTCTATGAGCCCGCCGCCACAAAAATTCGCACAAATATGAATTGAGATGTTGTCTGGCAGTTCCTCTATGTACTTTATTTCTACACTTCGCTGAGCCCCATAATCGTTCTATGTGTTGAGTATGAACCCCAGTTGATGGATCGACAAAATTATACTGGTGATTCACTTGGAAATGGTCATAGTTTGCTTAGTTCAGTTGTCTGGTGTTGTATCCTTCCAACAGTCTGAATAAATGGTCGTTCCCTCTTCTATATTTTCTTTAATTGCTTCACGTCGGCAAGTACCCCAACATTTTGAAAATATTGAATTGCCTGTTCTTCTGAAGACGGCAAATCCCATATTTTAAGAAGATCCATAATATGACGAAAAAACAATGAAAAATAAACACAAAAGGGCCACAAACTAAAAAAAAATGTAAAATAAACACAAATGGGCCAAAAACTAAAAATAATGAAAAATAAACACAAGCGGGCCAAAAGTAAAGAATTTAATAAGTGACCGTAATAAGGGAATAACTGAAAACTAAACAATGCAATAACTGAAAGGTTTGGAGATAAGAAGAGGGAGGTTATGTGATGTGACGTTAGATAAGAAGTGAGGTTTCAGGGTGGCCAGCTAGACAAAAAGTACCAATTTTCTTAAGTATTAACTTCTTAAAGGGCACTTAGCACTTTTTTTGTGACTGAATGAGACTGAGCTGTCATACTCAACTATGTAACACTCATTCGGGTAAGGTCAGCTTGAAAGTAGTAGTAAAGTTGATTATTTTGTTCATTTGGATTAAAATATCGCAGGAACTAAAAATCTGACCTGCATACTGCAAATGAGGGAAATGTTCAGCATTTCATCCTCTTTGGTATGAGATATAATTCAAAATTGTATTTTTATGTGACGCCGAGTTAGAAAGTGTGCAAGGGAAAAATATATGGTCAAAAAACCAAATAATAATCACTGTTTTGTTCATTTGGACTAAAACATCTCAAAATTTAAATGCCATGGAGAATTCAGAAACCAATTTTCAGAAGTCAATATAGATTTTTTTTTTTTAATTAGCTGTAAAAATATTAGAAATTAAGTGTTTCTATTCGATTCTCTATTGCGCTCAACACTGTTTCGAAAACTTACTAACACCTGTAACACAAGTTTTATTTAAAAAATGTCTGCCAAGTAAGGTCAGATAGATAAGCTTCCTCACCGTTTTCATTTCCTAAAAAATATCTATATTAAAAAGTCTAAAAATTTTCTTATGAGAATAAAATCTCTGGTAGAAGCCATTTTTGGAAATTCAGTAATCTCTCAACACATATGGGTTTGATATCCACGAGTTTTGTTTATCAGCAAATACTAAAATGCGAAAAAGTACTGCATTTGCAGATTGCATATTTGATAATTCGTAATTTAAAAAAAAATTCTAGTGCATTCCATATGATCAATGCCTTCCACATTTCTCAGCCATTATATTGTTAATAATTATTTATATTAATTTTAATTATTAAATGCAATTTAATGAAATTGATAATAAATAATTCCTATACTGTTCTCCAAGTTTGGGTCAAATCAAATCGAATCGTTTTCAAATTGTTAATAATTATTTATACTAATTTTAATTATTAAATGAAATTTAATGAAATTGATAATAAATAATTCCTATACTGTTCTCCAAGTTTGGGTCAAATCAAATCGAATCGTTTTCAAACTATAGGCATATCAAATAATACATTTCCTGATCTGAAAGTGAAAGTATTTTTTGGGGGGGAGGGGAGGAGGGAGAGGGTATTAGATAGAATTTGATAAAATTGATGTCTATTTCATTTTACGTTTACCATTCCCTAAATTCTCTCCAAATTTGAGCCAAATCAAACTTGCGGTTTTAGAGATATAAATAAATCAAGGAAAACACGTTTGTGCATATATAAGAGAAAGCAATAGACAGAATTCAATAAAATTGACCACTCATTATTTTTTCACAAATACCTACCTTTTATCCAGCTTTGAGCCAAATCGAACGAGCTGTTTCTGAAATATTGGCATATCTACAACAATGAGTTTGAGCGTGCGTAAGCGAAAGTGCTGGTCTAACCACTTTAATTAAATTGATATGGGACCATCTAGACACCAACCTGAACAATTCCTGAATATTTTGTGAAAATTGGCTAAACGGTAGTAGGTGATATGCCCTTTACATCGATTTGACTACAGACAAACAACGAACCAAATTTGATCCTTAATGTCTGAAACTTAAAACGCGAGTGGAAATTTTCGATTCTGAGCACAAAATTTTTTTTAGCCTCTCACATGAATACAATGCTTCCCTACCTTCGGTAGTGAGGAAGCAAAAAACATCTATATTTCATATTATTAATCTCCATTTATTGATATTTTCATTTCTATCGTGTGGTCTTAAGGCATACATTATAGTTTTTATTGGTATATATAATATGTCTTATATGAAAAAACTTCAAAAACATACCATAAACTGAAAAAAACATTAATAAAATCTATAGTTATATGCTTAAATTACCTGAGGTGGTTCAACTATGTAATTATTAATCAAATGTCGATCTTGATTTTGTAAAATACTGAAATAATATGTGGCCCTGTCCCTAACTTCATCGTCTGTATCCATTTGGCACCGGGCGAGGAGGACCTAAAATGTAAAGATATTATCATTAATTATATAATTATTATATTTTTAATCTTCATCAATAGTAAACTTTATTTTCATTCGTAATAAGTGTGGTAATTTGACTTATTCCTAATTTCTTTTTACTAATTTTACCTTGTCCATTCCCAACCTTCATCTATTTCCCAACAGATCATCTTAATTATTTACTAAATTACTTACTAACTTACTTAATAATAATAATAATTACTTACTAGTATGTTCTCAAGAAGATCAGGGCACTGAGCTCCAAATTGAGACAATGCAGAAACAGCAGCTGCTCGTACTACTGCATTTTCCAGAATGACTCTATTATAGATAAATCTTATGTACCTAGAAATAATGGAAGTTTATTTTTAAATTTCAAGTTATAAACAAATTAAATACATAAATTATTTCAGGCCCGGATGGATAAAAATATCTATTATGACAGGAATGAACAACAAAAATCTGATGCGCGCAACACACAACTTTAACTTACCCCTCAACTTGAATATAAATTATTTTATATCAATGTTAGACGATTATAGAATTTTTAACCGAGCTAAAGCTTAAAGTTAACAAATCATTAAAATAAAAAAAATTCCATTTATCATACCAACGATTGATTATGGATTGTATGATCCGTTGATTAGGGATTGTACAATTCTTAGTTATTAAATTGTTATTTTCCATTGCAAAGTTTACTAAACTGGAATTAGAAGATTTGCATTGCCTGTCATAGATAGGTCAAAAGTTGTTACACTAATTGTAAGTGGATACTGTTGGGATATCACAAAGAGAAAATTCATCAAATTATTAACTAATTTGATTTTCTAAAACTTTACATGATGATTTTTCGGAATAAATGGACGATAGATACCTAATTATTTAAATATAATATCAGATCTAGAGTTATTAAACTACAGTAAATGTATTTAAGGTTACATATCCATGAAATATTTTTATATTTCACTTTTTCTTTCACTCAACTACAATGAAATAGTAATTTAAACAATGTCATTGCCTTGATTCGGTGGATTTTAAATACCTTTTTAACAAAATTTAAACATTTACATTTAGAGAGAGAATTCCATTTAATTTCCTTGAAATCATGTGATTTATTATGTTACTTAATAATAATGTTCGTTTTCAGAAATTATTATTTATATTTTTGTTGTCACTCTCTACTTACTTTCTACAATTTTATTTATTAGATATTATTTTTTCTAAAATTCTGCGCTTTCCAAAGATATATTATACGTATACCTTCTGACTAATATTTCCAGAGATTCATTTTCGACCTGGATAAGTATTTTTCTTTTTTTCTCCTTTATTCAATTATCAAATTCTTTCAGAAGTTATATTTAGTCATTTTTTATAGTTACTGCCAATAAGAGAGAGTTACTTTTTAAAAATAAACCAAATTAAAGGTACTTCAGAGGAAGACGTATATGAACATTGGACATTAAAGCCCTGTAAAGTGACACCAATGTGGATAAGACTTAGCTGATACTAAAAACAACTTAATAATACACTGATATATCGAGTTTAATCAAAATCGTTAAAGCCGTTTTCAAAAAAATTGTATAAATGTGTAAAATCAATGATATAAAGCGGCACTTCCGGTTAGCCAATTTTAATCTTAAATACGCAATTTAAATTTCACACGACTTTTCATTTTTGAGCTAGGCTGATCACACAAAAACAAAGACCACTCAATGGACCTCAAAACATGTAATTCTGTTGTTGAAAACTGAGATTCGAAAATTTCCACGATCGCCATATTTTCCCTCAGTATATATTCCATATAAGTGAAACTAAAAAAATTTTTAGAGGATAAAAGCAGTGAGAACACAATTTCGACATGAACATACAACATCAATGACACGTTTTCTAGTTGAAGTTGAAAATTTTCCTTCAGAGAGGATTTCTCATTTCTCAAATCAGCATTTTTGTTTTAAAGTTACAGTATGTAAACACTAAATATTACTCCCAAATTAATGATTCACCAACTGAAGATCCATTATCATTATTTCTGTCTAGGTACATAGTAGAGGATGAAAACTACAAAGAAGATGGGCAGATGCAAACTTCTGACTATATCTCATAAAATACAATGTTATTTTTGTGCCCTCTCCTTTGGTCAGGGCTGAAACTTAGGAGTATGTCCAGCAAATCACTCGAAAATAAGTTTAATTTTATAAACATTCACTTTTTTTTATTATAAAAGATCTTTTTTTAGCAGCAGAGCAATTAATAGTAATAAGTAAAGGAGTATATTTGTAATTTTAATTCTATTTACTCAAATTTAAGATGTTGAATTATAATTCTTGTAACTTTATAGATTAAAAAATATAAAGGAAGGAGATGGTCCGGGGTGGCGGTTATAAATAGGCTAAATAGTGGCAAAACTATTTTATTAAAAGCCAATGTTTCGACCCGACTTTGCCGGTCTTCTTCAGAGAGGTGTGTTCAGCTAGGAGTTTCACTTCTATTTCTCTTTCACGTGAGTTCTAAGTGAAACTCCTAGCTGAACACACCTCTCTGAAGAAGACCTGCAAAGTCGGGTCGAAACATTGGCTTTTAATAAAATAGTTTTGCCACTATTTAGCCTATTTATGACCGCCACCCCGAACCATCTCCTTCTTTCCTAAGAATATTATGAAATTTCCATATTTGAAATGAGTTTTATATTTTGATTTGTTAAGTAAAATAATCAAATTACCTAGAAGGCTGTTTTGTTTTTGGTCCTTCTTTACCAAGCAGATGCAGTATCCTGACAGCCAGGGAAGTGTGCTCACAATCCTCGATGAATTCACACAAATGAGCGAGGCCAGACTCTTTCGCTTCAGGGTTCCCTTCGATAAGAGATATAAGTGTATCGGCGATTGAAGCCTTATACTCCAATCCTCCCTCATCCCTCAGCATCGCAGACAAAAACGTCATGAGTGTTCCATGTTTTCGAGGGAATTTCAAGCATAGTGCTCTAATGGCCTAAAAGAATGAAGTAGGTTTATAAGTATTAAAAAAAAAAAAAAAACTGCAAATTATTTCACAATGGTTTATTATTTTCAAACAATTATACATCTAAAGTAACATTACCTTCCTGGTTACAAAAAAAATAATTTTTTTTTTTTTTTTTTTTATATGAATTTCCGTAAACCTTTAAAAAAATATACAATATCAACAAAAATGTGTATACTTTTTGAGTTATTCGGAATTTAATTTTACCATCAGTCATAACTTTTTATCCAGCTTCTTTTCGTTGAAGTATGTTATAAAGATAAATTTAAAGGGCGTCGAGAAAATGACTTTAGAGAGTTTTCATTGAAATCTGTACATTCGTTTAGGCACTACAGTCTATAGCAATGTAGGTTTTTTTGCCAACATTTTGAAAGTAAAAGCCAGATAGTAATGTCGATGAAGGACGATCATCCTCGGGTGAGCTCTGATATATCCAAATTTGAAAAAAATCGTTCCAGTAGTTTTGGAGAAAATGCGCGGACGGATAAAAAAATTTTTACTCGTTTTTCGAATTCTACATATCCTGAAACGTGAAACCTCAAATTTTGAGAGGGGGTTAAGTTTTTGACTTTTTTGGTTGATCACAATGGTTAATTATTGAAAATAATTAGCCAAAAGTATCTTATTTTCAATTAAACAATTTCAAAATTCAGCCACATACCTGCACTACAACAATCTTAAATTCATCACTTATTTCTGAAACGAAAGATGCTATCTGCTTCATAAGTCTGTCCACAGCTGATTCAGCTCCAGTTTTTAGAAGAGTAGTTATGGCCAAGGTAGCTATGGACCGATTTGAATCCGTTATAAGGTTCTCTAAGTCAATATTGCATGACGTTACAGCAGTGGGATGCGTCATTGCTACCTAAAAATTTCAATTTATTTAAATATGATAAAAACACATACTACAATAAAGAAAAGTCTAATTTAAATATATATATATTTTTTTTTACCTTATTAAGAGTTCTCACAGCAGCAAAACGAAGCGCTGGTTTTGGAGAAGAACAAAATAATTGAAGAACACTTACTGCAGGCGTGATTTGTCTGGTAGTAGTGTGGCGTAAGTTTACAAGAGCAGCAGCTGCTTCATAAACAACCTAATAAGTCAGATTAAATACATAAAAACCTTTATCAAGTTTTAAAGGACTTTAAAATCATAATAAATTGAATGCTTACTGTTTCACTTTTGTGGCGTAAACATGCTTCAATAAAATCAAAAAGTGGAGAGTCTGCATATTCTCCAGAGCTTTCTTCTTCCAATAATTTACATGCAATGCGAATCTGTAACAGATCAACTAACGCTTATAACAAGTACTGTAGGATCATTCATGTTGAGGCATGATGGATGAACGCAAAATAACATAATTCATCTACAATAAAGGTCCTACATAAGATTACATAATTGTATTTATGATGAATGATATAGTCTTATCCAAAAGCATTAAATAACATTATAAAAATACTAACAATATATTTATAAATATTTACTATATATTTTTCACAATCCGGACTAGTGTAAAATCTTTTAAGATAACAGTGCTAAAAATGAATGGAGAGATTTTTTTTAAGTTGTAAGTGATATGTCTAAATGTATTTCTAAATTATAAAAGTTTAATAAATAGAACTGAGATTTTATTTTTATTATTGCATTGAATACAAAGTAATTTAATAGTTGTTTTTAAATCCTTCATCATTAGGTTTACAATATGGTTTGTTTTATAAAAAAAAAAAAAAAAAAAAAAAAAAAAAAAAAAAAAAAAGACTACAGAAATTGGTAAATTTATCCACTCTAAGGAAAAAATGCTTTGAAAAGCTTTTAGCAAACAACCCGAACACATGAGTGTCATTTAGCTTTCTAAACATTCACGGGATCTCACTGAATAATATAATAAATCAAACTTAAAAATCGATCCAGCCGTTCGCTCAAAACAGCCTTACAAAGCTTTTTGGAAATTGATAAGATACATTTCATTTTGGGTCAGTATTTTAAGCTCCAATTGTTTCAAAATACTCAGAGAATTTGATCGAATAATTTGAGCCATAAAACTTAAAAAATTCATCCAGCTGCTCGCTCAAAACAGTGTTACAAAGCTTTTTGCAAATTGATTTAACACATTTTATTTAATAACGGGTCGGTATTTTTAGGTCGAATTGTTTCAAAATACTCAGAGAATTTGACCGAATAATTTGAGCCATCAAATTCAAAAATTGACCCATCCTTTTCACTCAAAAAAGCGCTAAATAGCATTTAGCTGACGAAACCAAACACATAACTCTCGTTTCACTTCTAATAATAAATAAATTTTAAAAGATAGGAAAAATAAATTGTTTTACATACCAACATACAAACTGCGAATGGAGATTTCAACGACATTCTAGTTAATTTAGCAACTAATTTTGTTACAGCCAATCTGTCATTTTTCCTAATATGGAAAAGCAGGCCCAGAGCATGATATTGGACCATTATACTATAAAAAAAAATGAAACATTTTATTAAATTTAAACATATAGATTTAAATGAATAACTTATCTAATTTAAAAAAAAAAAAAAGATATTGATTCTAGAAAAAATAAGGTACCTGTCAGAATTAACAGCTTCTTGTGCTTCATTAACCCATCTCTTGACGACATCGCTAGCAATCCTACTCATATGCAGTGAACTAACAAGAGCAGCACTAGCAACAGCTGGGTTTCTATCAACGATTGCTTGTTTCATATATCTTTCAATCGTCTGCAGCATAGTAGCCTAAAAACAATATAATTATAAACATAAAAAGGAATCAATTAAAAAAAAACACAAGTAAAGTATTTTATTTATCCAATGAACAACGTTCTTTAAAAATAATAATGTGGTACAAAACAATTTAATTAGGAATTCAATTAACATAAATAGAAAAAATAAAAACTGTATTAAATATAAAAATTGCAGTACATACAAACCTAAGACAACCATTTTTTAACATAACAACAAATATATTCAGGTAACGTAGTATTCAGCTGAAATAAGTTTGATAATTTAGTTCTAAAGATGTATTTTTGAGAGCGCATCATTTGGTATCTGATTTATGATTTCAGTTTAAACACAACCAAATAGCTCTTTTCCAAAATACTATAAAACTTATTAAAGCTGACAAAATTTTGGTAATCAAAATAGCAAATGAAGTAAACTTGCATAGCAAATTAGCAGATGCCCAAGATTTATCCTTTTTCTTATCAATACATTTTTTTAATAATGATATCTCATTAAAAACATTATTTTCAGATTGTTTGTTAAGTCCAAACAATGGTAGTCAAATTCTAATAACTCGTCAACAATGCGAACTTTGATAAGAAGTTCTTGATAATAATAATCTCAACAATTATTGGTAATTATTAATGTTTAACATTATAAAATCAACAAAAATAATACAACACTCATATTCTGGCGAAATAGCCACATGACCGCCTTTATGTTCTCTGGCCGTTCCCTAGCTTGTCGTGCATTCTTTCCAAAAATTGGGACTTTTTTATAGGGACGCAGGACAAGTTCTTAAAAATCTTTATCCACTACCATAATCACAATAAAATAATCTTATAATGGTATACATAATATATCATGTATAATCATATCAATATATGATAACATAAATGATAACAAAATTTGGGGATCTTAAATTGACAAAATGTTTCCCCTGACGAAATATAAGCTATGTATATTTCCAAAAAATCAATTATCCATATCAATCAGTAAATTAAGAAAACATAATGATGAGCAGGTAACACAGAAAGAAAGTTGATAACAATCTTTTCATGCATTGCAGATCAATAGGTAATTTTAGTTTGTAACACAAAATTGACTTAAAATGCACTTATACAGATACTTAAATCAACAATATAATGAAAGATAAAACTTACATCTGTTATACTGCATAATGCTCGAATTGCAGCTGCTCGATATAAATCTTCTTTCCCAGTCATGTCTTTTGTAAGGCTAGAAGTAACGATGATAACATCTTGAGCAATTAGAGATAACTCTTTTATGCCAAGATATACCATTCGTCGAAGCAAAGTATTATTTGATTGAAAAAGCTTCGTAACAGCAAAAAATGTTTCTGTTGCTTCAGCAGGACCAAGCTGTTCTCCCTAAATTTACACTCATGATTAGATTTCCTCAAAGTGATGATTTGATACATCTGACAAAAAAAAATCTTACTTGGTTTAAAAGATACAGAATTTTGGTCAATATTGGGGTGCATTTGCGAGGTTCAACTGGTGTTTCATTAAAAGTTCTGGCATCCTGAAGAACACTGGTCTTATCAAGACTCTGAAAGGGGTTTCCACCTACAAAAAAGAATATTTTCCATTGAAAAATAAATAAGCATATTAAATTCGGTCTGTGAAACCGAATTTAATGTGTAATGAAAGTAAAGATAGAACAGTTACCATCTTCTTCTTCCTTCTTATCTCGTTTTATTGCCATTTTTATTGGTTATAAATATGTTATTAATATATTACAAATTAAAAATTACACAAATAATTATTAAACATTAACTACACATCCCACGTCAACGTCAACAGAACACTCCTTCTTGCAGGTTATGATTGTGAACGTAATTATTTTGATTTCAAAATAAATTTTGAGTATATATTGAAATTTATAAATTTATATCAAACTAAAAAATAAATTGAACGATTTAAACTGCTAGTGAAAATTTTTAAAAATTAACACTACGAACAATTTTTTATTATTTTCGCACAATATCGATTTACAAGCATTGGCAAAAGAACAACACATCATAACCTTCCTACAGCGAGTAGACAACGTGCTTTCATGTATTGCGGTTATGGTTGTTGTAGTTATGTTAATTTATGATTAGTTATAAGATAAAATGAATCAAGACGATGTAAGAACTTGTTTTATTGTTATTTTTCATCTGTATATGAGTTTATTTATTCAATTTAATTTTTTTTAGATAGTTTGGGGTATCATCAACAGAACATTTTGTTCTTTCAAAACCAAGTACGTCTTTTCCATAGTTCCATTTGTTAATTATCAATTTCTTATTAACTCATAGTTATCCATAGTAATTTATTATGTTTTTTATTGTAGCTTATTTTGTTTTATTACAGCACCAAAGGACAACAATTTTGCCGGAATGAATATAACCTAACTGGATTATGCAGTAGGAGTGCATGTCCCCTTGCCAACAGTAAATATGCCACTATTAAAGAAGAAAAGGGAATCATATATCTTTATATGAAAACAGCTGAAAGGTTTTTCTTCATTACATTAACACCTAGATGCAAAATCCTTATTATATTACTAATTTTTTATTTTTTTCCAGGGCTTGTTTTCCTAAAAATTCATGGGAGAGAATTAAGTTGTCTAGAAATTTCGAGAAAGCTATTTATCAAATTAATGAAAATCTTTTATACTGGGATAATTTCATTAGACAAAAATGCAAACAAAGGTTTGTCAAAATTACCCAGTATCTTATCCGAATGAGGAAGTTGAAACTCCGAAGACAGTAAGTGATAGTTATATTTACTGTTTATTTTGTCCGAAACTGGTTAGAATTACCTAGTAAATATTTAATTCAGACTGTTGAATGCTAGTGTAGGACATACTCCTGAGTTAAACTGAAATACCAATATATAAAATGATAATTATATTTTTTGTTATTCTAAATTTATTGTAAATAATATGAACCTTTACAGAATTGGTGTTTTCTATTCTTCTTAGCTGTGATATAAAGTTTAAACATTTTAAAACTGATAATGATCATAAACTGAATGCAGTGTCTGTTATTGATGCATCTAATTTTTCCATTTATTTATTAAGTGTAACATATTATTATTATTAGACCTGACCTTGAGAGCTCTTACTTCATTTAGATCCTGCTTTTACTGTTTAAAATTGCTAGCATTCTGTCAAGTTTATTAGGATTTAAGCTAATTTATGATTTTATGTTCTGATTTTCACCAGTCATTTTGGATGTTGTTATATTCCATTTTCTTACTTTCTTTTTTTCTTATTATAATAGGAGGAGAATTATACCACTTCAGAGGAAAATAGAAAGAAGAACACGAAGAAGAGAAGAGAAAGCTCTTGTTGCTGCTAAATTAGATACTGCTATTGAGAAGGAACTTTTGGAACGTTTGAAACAAGGAACAGTAAGTTTTTTTTAATATATACTTAATTTATCGTTTGAGGAATTAATGAATTTTATTTTCTTTCAATCTTTTTTACAATCTTTTTTTTTTATTATTATTATTATATGAATCAGCAAGACACTTTATTGCTTGTCATTAAATGCCAGTATTAAATAAGTTTCTGTGTAACTTAATTTTTTAAATCTCAATGAACTAATGTTCTGTTTTCATTATTGCTATATTCCTGGGGAATCACTATTTATTGTAAATTACATTGTTACAATTTTTATTACTACTGAATGTCATTATGCGACCTCTTCCACTTTGCTGGTTAGATTAAAAGTTTTATTTCCCCTCTTTCCCTCCAAAAAAAAATCCTATCTTGGTTATTTATGGTTCATACAGGCAAATAATATTCTACATTATAGACATTCTCAACCATATACTATCTTATGAATACATGTTTGTAAACATTGGTTTTCAGATTAAACATCACTATGTTTTCAATACTGTATACTCCTATACAAGATGATTTCATGTAATACATTAAAAATCTTAAAATTGTAATTAATATATTATGATAAAAAACTCATTCAATGTTATAGATAAATTTTAATGTATTCATAAAATAGTTTCAGGTTCTGTATTTACAAAAGCAAAAATTACTTTTGCCAGCTCTTTTAGACATCAACTGTATAAAGAGATATATACAGTGATGGAAAAAAGTATTTGCACAACACGTTTTTATGAATAAAGTAGTTCAAGGAAACAAAAAACTTTGCTTTCCTTTTCAAAAATGAAAAGTAAATTTATTAAAAACTGAAAAAACATTTTTACAAAAAAATAAAAACACTTCATAATCAAACAAAATAATTAAAACAATAAGAGTGTTTGGAAAAATTTATTTGCACACTTCCACATTTACAAGTTTATTTTAAATTTTAATATTTTGTAAATAGGCCATTTGCGTCAATAATTGCTTGTAGACGTCTGGGCATTGAATGCACTAGGTTTTTAATTAAATCTACGTCTATTTGTTCCCATTCTTGAACAAGAAGTTGTTTAAGGTGATGTCCACTAGTGATATGGTGTTTTCTTACATTTTCGTCAAGGGTGTGTCATGAGACAATTTTTAACTTTATTATTGCTTTTGATAGATTAAAGCTGTTGAGTTCTGTGTGCTATAATCACTTGATCGTAACAAACTCTTAAACAGTTCCAAAAACTACAATAGTGTACTGAGGATGTCATTCATTTGATTTCATTCGGTAATAATACAAAGAAAAAAATATTGTCTGGCTTAATATTTTAATTACAAATAAAATATCATTAAGCTATTAATTCCTAACGTCATTGATAGTAAACGTTTTTGAAAAGTATTTTTTAATAATATTTAAATTATTGATTTCTTCATGTTTTAAATTAGTCATTGTATTAATACTATTGATAATTACTATGGTACATATGCACCTTTAATCAGCCAACGCATTGATTTTATTTTCAGTATGGTGATATATACAACTTCCCCCGAAGTGTGTTTGATAAAGCTTTAGAAGAAGAAGAAATAGAAAGGGATGATGAAGAAATCGAAGAGGACACAGATGATGAAATGGTAATTTAATATTTTTGTCAACAATTCTATGGCAAATTATTTATTAACGAAGCTTCCATTTATAGTGCTCATTTTAAGAAAATAAGTTGTGATCAAGTCATGCTGATTTTGTTCTTTGTACTTTCACTTACCTATACAGGAAGGGTTAGTATTGCGATCATGAAAATTTTTTAATCTGAGTTTTCTAAGGGAATACACGTTTTGAGGTCCCCTCAGTCCAAATAACCAAGTCCCACAAAATGATCTCTGTGTGTGTATGTATGTGAACAGTCTAGTTCAAAAACGAAAAGTTGTACAAAACTGAAATTGCGTATTTGAGGTTTTTATAAGCCTGGGATGTTACAGCAACATTATCGTTATTATCGTAAGGAAGTGGTACTTTATATCATAGATTTAACACATTTTTATGATTTTCTCATAAACGGCTCAAATGATTTTGATTAAACTCTGTTCATTAGTGTATTATTGAGCAGTTTCTAATATAATGTAGGTTTTATTCTTATTGATGTTCTCTAAAAGGAATTAAATGGCTAATTTTCAATATTAGCTACCTCTTAAGTACCCTTAATTATTTTATTTGAAATAACCATTTCAGATTAATCATTGATATAAAAAATAGTTTAATATAAAATATGAAAGAATTTGATAATTAACGTAAAAGAGAAATAAGAGATTTTTACTTTCACTTTCCCTTTGTCTGAGAATACTTATTTCTGCTAAGAAGAGGGTGGTAGTGAAAGTCTTGTAATGAGTGCACCAGATTGTTTTAAATTAACCTCATTTACGGATTAAAGCCATATATTAAAATACCTTAATATCTTATTTTACTTTAATTTTAATGTTTAGCAATATCTTAATGGTTATATAATCTTTTTGTATTATTTTTCCATTGATTTTAATATATATCTTTTTATTAGGAAATTGAAAAAGAAGTTCAAAATGAACTAGAAAAGGATATGATAAGATCTAAACACCATGAAGAGCAAATTGATGAGTATGTGGAAGGGGAAAGTAGTGAAGAGGTTAGTATTTAGTTTGTGATATTAAAATTTTAATGGGTATTCGATCTTAGAAAAAATTAGCATGTTATTCATCCTTGAGTAATAATGTGCTGTTAAAGAAAATTATTTACTTGGATGAAATTGCTGTATTTCTAGCTATTAACTATAGAATTATATTGTCAGTTTATTGCAAAAAGTCATTAAGTGACATTTCATAACCTTAAATAATCAAAAACTTTAATTAATTTTCTCTTTGTGAAATCAGAATATTGTGTATTTGTATGTACTTATAGTGTCTTTGTATAGGTAAATAAGGTCAAATTTCACAAAAACATTCAAAAGTTAACATATAAAATGCACTTAGTAACTTTTTATAATGCTTATTATATTTATTAAATTTTATAATTTTATAACCCGATGACATGTTTGATCCTTCGATGAAGGTATAAAGTCAAGATAATGGAATATTCTCTTCATGGTTGACTGTTTGGTTAGTAAATATTTCAATAAAACTCAGTCAGTTAGTTTCTTTAAAGAGATGTGCCTTGTTTGAATTTTTAGACTATCTCAATATTCGTGGTTATGACTGTCTGTGATCTAAACGAAGACAAGATATTTCTCTTACGTATTTTAACATTATTAGTTATTGGCTATCTAAAGGTACTAATCCGCTGGCCCTGCCATCGCCAGAGATCGCTCTGCTCTGCATAGAACCTCTGCTTTAGTTGCATAGAAAGGAACCTATTTCGTTGGCAGTCTAGGTATGACGTCATATTTAAGCTGCTCCTATCTGACTGCTTCTGAAGCAGTGGAGCTGTTGGTGGTTCTAGGTTATGTTATCATACCGGAGCATTGTTTTGGTGATATAAAAGTCACATTGATATGTTTTATTTCATATGTTTCTTTCAAGTCTGGCAAAATTATAACAACGCAATATTAAATTATTTTTTTATGGTTGAATTAACAAGATTATTTATTTATTTATTCTACCAACAGTATTTTACAGTGAAATTAAATTAAGCCTAAATCCAAACGATATTAAATAAATAAAAGAATAAAAAAGCGGTAGTAAGAGATAGTAAGTCTATTTTTTTATCTTCGAAGATAGATCGAAATGTTCCTAGGTTATAGGCAGATTATAACAACGCTAGTGAGTAGTTTCAGTGAAATAGCGACGCAACAGCAGCTGGCAGCGTGAAATAACGGTCACTGCTGTGGGCAGCGCCAACGAAATATTATCTTAAGTAATCCTTTTCCCAACCTAAAAATAAGATTTTTCCAAGGGTGAAAATTTATTTGTTTTTATTTTGTTTGGCCTTTGTCGCGGTAACCTGACATAATTTGTTTTAGATAAATATGACAGTATTGTTCCCAAAATTTGTATGACCTCTAAATTTCCAGTGATTGGATTAGAATGTATAATGTTTTATTTTAATTATTATGTACAATCAGCCTGTTTCATTCGCCCTTTCATACAACTTGAAAATGTTTGTTTTATTTTACATATTTTAGTCAAGTCAAGTTCTAAGAACGTCAATATATTCTATATATTCTAAAATTTATTGTCTTTAGTCTATTCTATTACTGAGCTTCCGATGCTAAAGGTTGCAGGTTAGAATCCCGGCTCATAATTAATTATTCTGTTTCATTAGCCGTGGTGCGATCGTGGGTAGGTAGACCCTCCTGAGGCATACCCAGCCTCTATACAGTGGGTCCCTTTAATTAAAATAATTAATTAAGGGGAAGAACATGGCAGTTGAGCGTGATATCGGTCAAATCATCTCCTTGCACAACCGTAGACCAAGAAACAGTGCTTTCCCTAAATAGTACTGAACCCAAGACCCTTCATGAGTTGTAGTGGTACAGGTTTTAGTTATTTTTATTTGTTCTATTTTAAACCCTTTTCTCTCAAAGTTGTCTTTAATAATTTCATCTTAATTATCAGGAAGAGTCTGACGGAGAAAGCGGTCAAGTTGAACAGATGGGTTCAGATTTCGAATTATCTGATGAAGATGATGATATTGAGGTAATATATATTTTTTTTTAAATAATAAGCATGTCATTATTACTAAGATTTAGATGTTATTCTCAAACATTTTAGATTAAATAATAATAATACTTATGGCTAGAATATAACCTGTATAATTTGATAAAACAGTTTTCGACCTCTCCTCATTATTTATACCATATGTAAATTTAATTTAATCGTAATTAATACTTGAGACCCGATTAAATTACCAGCCAATGAAGAGAAACATTTATGATAGAGGGATGACAGTTGCTCTACTAGACTCTTTCCACGCTCTAGCCTGGCTCTCTGGAATCTTGGTGAATAATTTGAAGTTGTGATTTTTCACTGTAAAACCAGAGAGACAGAAACGTTATCGATTAAAACAAAATATTCTTTTGAGACATTGAGGATATTTTCAATCAATAACTACATCGTTATGGTTGCACTCAATTCATAACAAACTCAAATCAGGTATTCAGCGTGGAATGTAGAGGCTGTTACTCCTTCTTATGATTATTTCTTTAGTAATCTGAGGCTTGTAATTAAATTAATCAATATCATTATTATATAACACAAACACAAACCAGTTCAGCCCCTTTTTCTCCTCTATTATTCAACTGATTTTCTTCCTCCTTTTTTTGTTTAATAGCTATTGACTTTTGTGTTGTGAATAAATAAAAATATAAATGGTAGTTTGTTCAAAACAGCTAATCATCAAAAGTTCTTCACGGATTTCTTTGAAATTTTGACACAACGTCGCAATAACATTTAGAAGTGTTTTTGTGTACATTTCATTATCATCGGGCATTCCCTTTCGAAGTGGCAAAAACATGATTTGCTTTTCAAACTGTAGCGCCAAAACGATTTTAATGAAACTTTGCTAGTCTTCCTCTTGAAACATTTATAATTTATGTATAAAACATACTTTCTTGAAAACAAGCTGTGCATACATTTTAATGATGAATTCAGTATTTTATTTGTAAATAATTCAAAAAATATACATTTCTTTATTGATACCAATATTTATTTGAAAGCTTTCTGAATTGTCTACAAAATAAAAAATCATCAAAATCGTACTATTTCTCGCAAAGATATATCGTTTTAAACATTTAGTACTTTTTCTTTTGCAAAGACGATTTCCATTATTTTGATTTTTCATAAATCAAAAATTTTACATTCACTGAAGTAATCTGGACTATTATTTGAAGATATGATATCATTGAATGGTAGTGGAATGTTACCTTATTGATTAAATTTAAAAGTAAATTCTATAGTTGTGCTGATTCTTAACTTAAATACTGCACAAGCAATAGTTAATGGAATACAAATGAGAGTGAAGTACTAACGGGAGCTACTTTAAATAAAAGAATTTTAATTCCAAGGATCAATTTAACATTTTCTGAGACAATACTTCCATTTGAATTTCAAAGAACAACGTTCTTATTAATAGCTGCATTTGCTATGACCATAATCAAATTGTAGATTCAGAGTTTTAGAAAAATTTGTGTATTACTGAGACGTCCAGTAATTTCGCATGGAGAATTATATGTGGCAGCAAGTAGAGCGAGCACGTTCGTTTAAAATTTTGGAATTTACAAGATTAAAATTAATAACGTTGCTAATTTTAATTTATTGTAAGAATAAAACACATAAATTAAATATTTTTGAATAAGTCTATTTTGTATTACTTGAAAATAATTTTAAGTAGTTAAAGCTCATTTTTTAATTGAAATTGTCATTTTGTTTTTATTAATAAAACGGGGTTTTTGAATCGTGATTTACTCTTCATTTATTTAATTATGTTTTCCTCAAATTTTTAATGATTATGGTCGAATTTTGACCACTGGGCAAACACTAGTATAATATAATTAGTTTAGTTTATATAATAGCTTTCAAAGTATTTCACAACTCACAGCCAAGCTGTTGGTAACTGTAATCAAATTTATAAGGTCCCATTTAAAAAATAAAAAAAATTGGGCCCCTCGGTATTTTGAAGTTGTAACAAAGATGTCTTACTTTACCGAGACTACCTATTTCATTGTGTGTGCTATCCTACATTATGTAATTTTAACCTTATTAAATCTGCTCCTTTTTAATTTTCCATCCTCCTGGATTCTTTATAATCCTCCTAGCCATCTGAACAGAAGATCTTTTAATGATGTAGAGATGGTTGACCATGATATAATATGAGAATGATTTGATCTGAGGGGTGCGGTCAAATAAATATTAAATTATAAAAATAGTATTATTAATTTATTACGCCGACGTTTCGACCCACCTTGCAGATTTCATCAGGGCGTGGCATCAGGCACTGCAGAAGGCAGTTGATAGACTGTTCAGTCTACCAAGTGCCTGATGAAGGCCTGCTAGGTGGGTCGAAACGTCGGCGTAATAAATTAATAATAATATTTTTATAATTTAGTATTTATTTTACTGCATCCCCCAATCAACTCCTTCTCAGAAGATCTTTTAGTTTAAAACGATTATTGGAGCGCTACAAATTAATGAGTAGTCTCTCTACAAGTCTGTTAGTGTCATTATTGTTTTCTATTCACATTTACTTTTCTATTTGTGATTTGACCATGCATCAATTTCATTTCTTCTTCCTCCAATACTCTTTCTTAAGGGCGCTGAGGATTGTATTTTATTTTTAACGCAGTTGAAAAATTTTAATAAATATAATTTTTAAAAAAATAAGATTCAGATAGTTAATAGATATCTGATATGTAATAATTGAATTTCTAGGATACCGAGTTGCCTTCCTCCTCAAGAAAAGGGCCAGCTAAGAAACCACATGTTGAAATTGAATATGATTATGAAGATACAGCAAGAGAAATTAACCGATAATGTATTTATTATGCTTGTTTCTGTAAATATATGTTTTTTATTACTATTTATCTTTGATTAATTCCCATTTCTATTATAAATTTGATGTATGCTATTTTAGTGCATTGATTATTTACATAGTTGGAAAGTCAGTATTTAAGAGGCATTCATTGTTACATAAAGGCTTCCAGATGGATTCCTTTGAGATATATGCCCTGCCCATCTTATCCCTCGTACGTTCATAGCATGGGGTATTGATTGACCAGTTTCTGTAAGCAATTCTTTATTGGCCATGTGTTAGTAAGATAAAGATCTGGTCTAACATGCTCATCCCTTTTCTGAATCCAGATTGGTGGTCACCTATTATATTCTTGTAATACGGATATATCCGGTTAATATTAAGTCAATTTAATCAGTTATTAAAATTTAAATCTAAACATTTGTCAAAAAATCTGAAGCGATGCCCACATCACACACAACTTTCACATACCACCTTACTTTGATTAGAAATAGAAAATCAAAATTTATAGAGGGTAAAATATATTAATTTAAAACAATTAATCTCCATGTGTTTTTCTCAGGTGTCTAATCTATTAAATTTATTAATTTGTAATCGCTCTCTATTTCCTTTTGCAATTACACTTCAATTATTGGAGTCCCACAAATTTTTTTTAGGCCAATAATATAGACAGTGATAAATGAGTCCGCTAAATTTATGTATTTCATTGTGAGATGTCCCAGGCATAAACTTACGTTGAATATGTAATTCCAGTTTTGTGTGACTTCGTTTAGGGGCGTGGTTGTTAACACACACATAGACCATTTCGTGAAACTTGGTTATTTTTTTTTTATATTTGTTGGCCTTAAGCACGTCGACCCCTACTGGGTCTATTGTGCGCCAATTTCAATAAGTCGTTTTGTTTAAAACGTTAATCCTGTCGCTTCCGCGTATCTAAGTAGGCTGGTTGGATTGACCGACTCATATCTTCTGGGGAGATCCATCTGTTCCTCCCCAAATACCACCAGTCTCAGCCTTATAAATCTATCACATCTGCATATGATGTGAAAAGCTGTTTCATTCTCCTCCTGACAGAATCTGCATAGCGGATTCGTCATTACTCGGAGATTGAACATATGATTATTTAACTTACAGTGACCTGTATAGATCGCTGTAAGTTTTTTAAGGTCTGCTCTGTCCATGTTCAGTAGCTGTTTACTTCTTTTTTTACATGGACCTTCAAGGAACAGCTTCGAATGTCTCTGTTTCTTGTCGGTCCAGTAATTACTAAATTTGTTCCCATAGATCTCCCTGATCCTGCCCTTGGCAGTGCTGAGGCTGATTCCACAGACAGGCTCGGGAGTTACAGGAATGGTATCTGAGCCCAACCTGGCTAGCTCATCAGCCACCTCGTTGCCTGGTATGCCAGAGTGACCTGGCACCCACTCCACTGCAACTCTGTTGTGCTCAGTTAGCTCGTTAAGTGCTCTATTGCATTCCTTAACGACCTTTGAATAAACATAATAGTTGTCGAGAGCACCTATTGCTGCCTGACTGTCAGTATAGATGGTGGTAATCTTTTTCTCAGTCACATTGGTTTGCAGTAGGTTTTGTACACAGTGGCAGATTGCCAGTATCTCAGATTGAAACACTGACGCATACCTGCCAAGTGGTATAGACATTTTTTCTTTTATATCTTTGCGATAGATGCCTGCTCCAGAGCCGAAGGCTGTTAGAGAGCCATCTGTATAGCAATTTATTCCACTATTTGGTTTATGACTTCTGCTGCTATCTATCCCAACCTTATATTTTCGGGCCTGATATTCTAGGATTAGAGTGTCAGAGTGCATAGCTAGTACTCCTTCGTATCCAATCCTGTTCAGCAGTATTGTGTGTCCTCCCTGACAGGGGACTGTTGAACAGTAAGTTGATTTGCTTAACCTGTACAATGTATTTGTTGCCCGAGCCTCCACCTCCAGCTGCAGCGGAGGCATGCCCAGCATCACCTCCATGGCAGCCGTCGGTGTCGTGCTCATCGCGCCTGTTATCATTATACAAGCAAGCCTTTGAGTCTTTCCTAATAAGGATAAGTTGGCCACAGTCTTTGCTTTGTGCCACCATAGCAAAGCTGAGTAAAGTATGATAGGTCTGACTGTCGTGTGTACAGCCAGTATACCATTTTTGGTTTTAGTCCCCAATTCTTTCCTATCGCTCTTTTACAGGCCCATAGGCATTTGAGGGCTTTACTTGTCACGTTTTGAACGTGTTGTCCATGCAGTTATGGTCCAAAGTGACTCCAAGGTGTTTTACTTCCTTACTCAGTGTCAGTTGGATACCATTAATTTCCGGCATTTTAATAGCCACCTTCTTCTTCTTAGTGAAGATACACACATTGATTTTCCTAGGGTTGATGCTTAGTCCTTTAATCCTGCACCAATTCCTAAGAATATTAGACACAGTACTGAGGATATCAGAGAGGACACTCTGATGCCTCCCTCCTATGAGGATGGCAATATCGTCAGCATATCCCTGAGCATAAATGCCTGCAGTGTTTAAGGCTTCCAATAATGAGTCAGCCACAAAACACCACAGTAGCGGAGAGAGCACACCTCCCTGAGGACATCCCCCACAGGGTTTAATCCACAGTTCCTTGTGCCCTATTTCTGATTTTAGAACTCTATCCTACAGCATTCTCCCAATCCATCTGGAGGTCATAGCGTCTATGTCTTTTTTCCTTAGCGCATCATTTATGATGTTGTAAGGAGTTCTATCAAAGGCACCCTCGATATCAACGAAGACGCCTATCATGATTTCAATCTGTTCTAAGGATTTCTCTATTCTTGTTACCAAGTTATGAAGCGCCACCTCACAGGATTTTCCTGGTTGGTAGGCATATTGCTTTGAATGTATTTACTAGTAGCCAATATGTGTTCCCTAATATGTCTGTTCAGTATCTTTTCCAATGTCTTCATTAAGAAAGATGACAGACATATTGGCCTAAATGCCTTGGGGTCTTCATAAGATTCCTTTCCTGGTTTAGGAATGTATCGCACTTTGGATATCCTCCATTTACATGGTAGATATCCCAGTGCTAGGCTACCTCTTAGAAGTTCCAGAAGGTATGGCCTTATCTCTGGGAGACCCTTCTGCAGCAGTGCTGGAAAGATCTCGTCAGTTCCAGCAAATTTGAAAGGAGAGAATGAATTCACTGCCCATTCAAGTCTACTGTTTGTTATCACACTGCCAGACCCCACATACGTGCACCAGTACCACGATCCTGTGTATTGGGGTCAAGAAGTTCATTTACTGTCGTAAAACAATTTGGGAAATGAGCTTTTGCTACCACACTCAATGTTTCCATCTCATTCGTCATATTTGAGTGTTCCCATTATACCTGTATTGGTTTGTTTTGACAGTATTTTGTTTACCTTACTTACCGCCGGCATGTTGTCCACCTCCAGACAAAACTTTTTCCAGGCTTGTCTTTTGGCTTTCCTGACAGATTTGTGATACTCAGTAAGAGATTTCCTATAGGTATCCCAATTGCCAGATTTTTTAGAAGCATTGAACAGTCTCCTCATGAGTGTTCTTTGCTTTGTTAGACTATCATCACCAGGACACTTTCCTGTTGGTTGTAGTTTTTTTGGCTTCATTACTGGCCAAATATGTTCTAGTCATAGCATCAGTAATTGAAGTATTTAATATTTCTAATTGCCATGTATTGTGATTAACTTTGGGGCAGCATTTGACAGCCTCCTCCAAGTTAGAACTATAGGACACCCAGTTTGTTCGTTTGGGGTCTCTATATTCCACATCATGTTTTATTCTGTCAGATATATCAAATCTGATATACCTATGATCCGAGCATGTTTCTTCATCAGAGACATGCCAGTTATCTATAAGGACACTAGTCAATCGAGTCGCTAGTGTTATGTCTATGATCTCAGTCCTAATTCTATTACAAAAGGTAGGCTTATTCTCCCTGTTCAGAATATCAAGATCATATTTAATAATAGTCTCTAAGAGTTTCTCACCTCTTGAGTTGGTGTTTGTGCTTCCCCAGATCTCGTTGTGAGCATTAGCATCCAGGGCAGCCACAATTTCCTCCTTGCTCTTTAGTAATTCATCCATTCCTTCTGCAGGTTCTGGATGTTCATATGGCAGATAAACCGCCGCTATGATTAGTGATTTGTTATACCCTTGTTGGGTATATTTGGCTGCTGCAAGATCTCTAGAACAAAATTGCCATAGAGGCAGCAGTTTTAGTTTGTTTTTAAAAAGTAGGCAGGCTCTAGGATATGTGGGTGCAGATATTATTCCATACCCATGCATATTAAGTCCTTTAATCCTGCCTTCATATAGGTAAGGTTCAAGAATTAATATTATATCAATATCATTACCTTTTATATACTGTTGCAACACTCCAGATGCCGCAATGCTGTGGTGGATGTTGATCTGCAGCAGTTTCATATATTTTTTATTGATTGTTTATTTTCTGGAAGGTGGTTTTCCAGACGGGGCCGATGGTAGGGTTCCTCCATCAGACTCAGTTTTCACTTTGTCTTTAGGTTTCTCCCCGCCTCTCGATCTCGCTTTCGAACCCCCACCAGTGTTAGATGAGTGCTGCGAGACAGACGTCTGGCCACCAGACCGCGACAGTGGCTGGGGTTCGCCTCTGTAACCAGTTTTCACCGGTTCCTTTGGCTTAGCCCCGCCTCCTGACCCGGCCGACGGCCTCGACCCCGTCCTCGATGCACTCCTTCCCGAAGAGGAAGATTCCTTGTTCTCCCTCTCCTTTGATGTGCCTGCTTTCGGCGCCTCTTCTTTCATTTCCTCCGGAGCAAGTTTACTTCCTGATGCCAAGAACCTGAAGGTGATAACATATATCCCACAGCAGGCCTGCATTCCATGTTCAGTGAGGCTCTGGAGGCTGGTCTCCGGTATGTTAAATACTCCAAAGGATCCTCTTTCCAGAGCCTTGAAGTTAAACACGGTCCAGGTTTTGATCCCAGTAATAGATTGGTTTTGAATCTGGAGCCGGTTTAAATAATAATCAGCAGGTAGGGCCTTTCCTGGAAAGAAGGCTCCAATCTTGATAATTTTGGTTAGATCACCTGCTTCACAAGTTCGTAGGGTTAATCCTAACTTAATTGTGATGCTCGGTGTTATGCTTTTAAACCATTCCACCGTATGGCTGTCTAGGCAGGATACAAGACATCCTCCGAGCTTAAAAAGCGCCCCGTCGAACTTTGGATGTATGTCTCCCCCTATTGTGAGTTCGTCAATTTTACTGGCGATTGCTTCCTTAAGATCTTCGCATTGGTTATAGGTAAGCTGGATCTGCGGGTAGTCGACAGGAACTACCGCGACCAACTGTCCTTGTGCAACCTTTGCGTAGTTTCTAGGCCTTTCAGCCTCCCTCGGTTTCTTAGCTTCCATAGCTGAGGCTCCTAGGGATTTCCTGGCTCTTTTTTCCACAGGCAGTCTTGATCTAGACCTCAACCTTTGAGGCCTCGCACTCTTAGCTGCTGGCCTACGTGGCCTCGCAAACTTAGATGCTGGCCTCTTGGGTGTGTCCTTCTCATCCCCTGTCTGTGTTATTGGAGCTTTACCCTCCGGCGCGGCAGCTTCGTTTGCCAGGCCTTTTGGGGCCCTTGCATCCTCCACTGCCTGCCTTTGAGTAGGCTCCAATTCACTAGATGTTTGCCCTTGATCTAAGGCCTCCCTTTCACGACTCCCCGCCTTGTCCGCCAGGCCTTTTGGGGCCCTTGCTTCCTCGGCAGAGTTCTCTAAAGGTGGCCTTTTCTCTTCTTCTGGGCTTAATAGTTGTTGGGCCTTTGCCCTCCTCCTAAGGCGCCTCTTTGCATTCCTTATCTTCCTCCACGTGGCAGGCCTCGAGTCTTCCGACTCGTGGTCCCCGCACTCCGTGTGGTCGAGTCCAGAATGCGATCGGCTTCTAACCATTTCTGGCTTGTTACATTCTTCCACGTCCATCTTCTCTTCCGGGGCCTGCACCATTGCACAAGCCACCTCCATCAATTCCTTCTCCTTTAGGTCTGTTTGGACGTGGAGTGTTCCAACATCCTCTGTTAGGGTTTTCAGTAGTTCCCCTACCAGAGTTTCATCAAACTTATCTGAGGTAACCTCTGATAAGTTTAAAAGCTCCTCGGAGGACAAGTCCTCCTCGGATACCGACGATTTACTGTTTTTATTTTTGTTTTTAGAAATGGACATTTTGGTTCCCACGAGTATGGGGGTCAATGCAACTGCAGGTACTACCCCCTCTCCCTGCAGTCGGCTACTTGAAATGGGGTGTCGCCCGGTTCCCCAAGTGAGTCGATAAGAGACAGTATATTTTTACCCACCCTCTGCCACTCAGCCTCAGCTCGTGCGCCCCGACCTAGCTTGGGTGCCTAACAGGTTCCTCAGTTCCATCCCACATGTATCATCCGCATACATATGGATGGAACCAACGAACCCCGCCTCTGTCGTCCGCGAGTCCCATCGGACTCCCCGGGGGGCACCACATGGAGGTGACAGTAGGCGTTGATAGGGATAAGGAGATCTGGGAACTCACAAGTAGTGGGTAGGGCACTTCACTTGATCATTCCGCAAAGAGTTGGGGAGATTCCCGCACCTTTCTCCATCTCTAGACCTCCCGTTGCCCTATCCATTAGCCCCCCTCACTTGGTTATCTGGACTCTTAAAATGTGTATTTCTATTAGAAACTCTGAATTCAAAATTTTTCACAATCATAATCTAATCCTTTCCCTTACTATATGTTTCAATTATAATGGTATGGGAATAGTTTCATAAACCTGCCAAGAAAGGAAACTGTTGTGGAGTTTTGTATGATAACAGGCCATGACTATCTTAGGAAGCATTTGCATAGAATAGATGTGGCAAATTCTCAATTTTGCAATTCGGGGGCACATATGGATGCAGCGTGTATGCTCGTGCTCATTGAACATCGGAGATACCACGCTGTCTAAATCTGGTAATGGTATTGGGCTTCAAGGTCTCTAATAGTGAAAGCCAATAGAGGCATAATTAAAAAAAAAAGTAAGTATGGAAATAGTTGGCTGTAATTCTAATTTAAGGAGAAATTAGTCGTGGATGTGCTCAATCGAGACACATACTATATTTTGTAGTGACGTTTATTTTAATTGTTTCGTAGCTTCATCCGGCAGTGCTAGATGAAATGCACTTATGAAGAGATACAAGGTATGTTGAAACATTGGTAATTAAAATAAATGCTTCTACAATAACAACTAACTATTCCTTAAATATTTAACTATTACTTTGTTGAATACATTCAAAACATATATATTTTTATTATTGTTTGTACTTTTAAAAATAAGGTCCTTCAAGAAAATTTCCTAATTCTAATGATACCAAATCCCAGTATTTCATGATTTTTATTCATTGAATTAACAAATGTACCAACAAAAAGACAGATGCTTCTTATTGTCGATGTAATACAGCAGAAATCCTCTTTTTTATTTAAGTATTTCATTATCACAATTTAATCTGAATAGATATTAAATGGAAAAATGTTTCCCCTTCTTAAGACATAAAATAATTGAATACTTAATATTTGACCGTTGTATTATTAAGGCAGGAGATGGTCCGGGGTGTCACTATCATAGACTAAATAGTAACAGAACTATTTTATTAAAAGCCAACGTTTCGACCCGACTTCGCAGGTCTTCTTCAGGGCTATTACAGACAAGATACAAAAAGATATAGAGAATTGTGGAAGTTACATAATATTTAGATAAAAAATTATAAACAATGTGAATAAACTTATTACAGCTATAAACAGTAAGTACATTAAAATATAAACAGAGTAAGCTAAGTAACAAGATCCTAAACTGAAGTAAATAGATGGTAACAATTGTAGTATAATATATAATATAATTTACTTCAGTTTATAATGTTGTTACTCAGCTTAATCTGTTTATACGACTTATTACCCTAAATATTTTAATGTAATTACTGTTTATAATTTTAATAGGCTTATTCAGATTGTTTATAATTTTTTATCTAAATATAATGTAACTTCCGCTGAATACTATCTTTCTGTATCTTGTCGGGTCAAAACATTGGCTTTTGATAAAATAGTTTTGCCACTATTTATGAACGCCACCCGGGACCATCTTTTTCCTTAATAAAATAACTGATTCACATAAAAAAAGTGTGAAATTCTTTTTCACTTAAAGCTGTTTAAAATATTTCTCATAAAATGTTTTATGGAAACTTAATCGTAGAACGATTAGTTCTTCTTTCACTATGTGATTCCAACATAAAAAAGTTATTTACAAAATACAAGAGGAAAGTATGTTCTTACGGGAGAAAAAAAATACTAATTTGGTTTTAAGTTTATATTTTTAATTAAGTACATCATGTAGCAAAGATAAGCGCACTTGTCACAGTCGGCAAATCAACTACAAAAAGTAATTTCCTATTCTTAAGCATATTATAAAATAAAATTTACATATTATACACAACAAATGTATGCCACATTAATTAAACAACCATTGCACAACGAGCACTCTTTAGATTCCAACTAGAAAACATATATTAGTGTTTCGAACTAAACCATATTACCTACAGGAAAAAAAAAGATCACTATTTCATAAGATTGACAACCCCTAAAACAATGATAAGTCAAGCAGACCATATGCAAGCGCTTATAACACATCTCAATATTGATAAAATAAAAATCCCCAAGTACTCAATGCTTTTAACTTCAGACCAAAATATTTATCGGAAACCTTCAAATATTTTTTGTATTCATAGTGGACATTTTAATTATTTTAAGCCTACGACAAGCTATTTATAGATAAAACTTTCACCGATTAAGAAAGTAATGATCAAAGTTTAGTTTAGATGAAAAGAAATCTTATGTTAAATTTTAAAAAAATAATAAATTTAATTCATTTCAATAAAGCTGCTTAGCAAAATAGTAACTGATGAGCTCAAGTTATAAGCTTTTTATAGAAAAGTTAATTTAATTTAAACTGAAGATTATTAATGTATTGACCCCATAAATACCATCAGAAGATACCAAAAAAAGTATTTCCTTTATTAAACAATTTATGTTTAAAATGAAATAATGTTCACGAGAGGATAAATATAGAAACAGAATAAAAAAAAAACTCATCAGTTATAGTCCGTGGTACAGACCCCTTTTTATCGAATTATTAACATCCGCCTGAAACTTCGTTAATAGTTTCATCTCATCGTAACCTACAACTATTTTATTAATAAAAACTCTTGGAATTGGGGCGTTTTCAATCTGAAGGGGGGCAAACTTTATTTAATTAAGTACTAAAAACTCATAAATACACATTTGCTTTCTACTTGGATCATAAGATAATTCGATCACAAGGTTATATAGGATAAATGGCCCAATATTTTTGTAGACCCACCTTTTTTATCTATTTTGTGATCGAATTATCTTACGATCCAAATAGAAAGCAAATGTCTATTTACGAGTTTTTAGCACCTAATTAAATAAACAAAGTTTGCTCCCCTCAAGATTGAAAATGCCCCAATCCCTTGAGTTTTCGTAAATAAAATAATTGTGGGTTACGATGAGATGAAACTATTTAGGAAGTTCCAGGCGTTTGTTAATAATTCGATAAAAAGGGGTCTGTGCCACTGACTATTAAATTACAAAACACAATGGAAGACTTGACTAGAAAACACATGACACCTTTTGATTTTTAATTAGTTTTCAGAATCCATTTCTTCAATCATTAAATAAAACCAAAAAAAAAACATAAGTTTCTACGATTAGCATAATGCCCTGTAAATAATTAAGTATTACTTCGAGAAACACAACATCTAATCAAACACTAAAATAAAAATTATATCAACAAGTTCTGATCATAAAAATAAGAATAAAAACAAACATGACCAAATATTTAGTAGAATGGAATAATTTTATCACATAACATATTCTTAGCAATCTCATATTTATCATCAGAAGTTGAAAGAACTCAATATGAAACAAAACAATAACTACTAATTCAAAGTATACGTAAACGGTCAGGCTAAAGGCAAGAAAATTATCTTTTACTAGAACCAGTCTTGATTAATCTATACCTTTCAACCTAAATTCTACCATTACAAAAAGTACTCTAAATTAGAAAAAAGTACAAAAGTATCCCAAAAATCTTGCTTCAATTTGATTATATAAATATATATGTACGTATCATATGAAAGTTAATAGTCTTTTAGGGATTACGTTTATCACTTCACTGCAATTCGCAGCACAAAAAGGAATTCAGATCTTAATTAATAGAAGCTAGAAGCATAAGAAATACTGTCATAAAATGTTTTTAAAAATGAAAATAATATAAATCTATATTTCTTAAAACTTAAAACAATATTATTTCAGAATAGCATGAGTCTTCTTTAAGAATTAGCACAACAAAATTTTAGCGATTGACGAACTCTTGAATCCTGGATACAAGGGGTTCGAGTTTTTTAGCATCTAACAAAACAACTCTACGAAAAGGTGTCATAGAAATGTCGTCCTCGAGCCAGTTTCCACTCAGACCAGAGTCGGTTTCATTCTTGACGCTGAATTCAAACTTCATGTCAGCAACCTAAAAATATTAAATTTCATGTCAATATAAGTTAATACAAATAGTTTAGCTCAATTCCTATTTTAATACAAAATTAATCTTTAATTTTCGTAACTAGCATGTATTACATAGATGGGGAACTTTTAATCACTAGAGACTGCAGTAAGCTTAGGCAGTGATAATGGAGGTTGCAACATGGTTTTACATTTTACTATCGCTATTTTTATGTATAAATAAATACAGTCTTATACATATATTAAATTTTATTCTATTAATTTCCAAACTTTTTTAATCTAAATAATTAAATATTATGATGGTTGGGGTGATCAGTCAAAATAAAAAATAGCAAAAATAAATAACAATATTTATTTTTACATTTGCCGATGTTTCAGCCCGAAGTTTAGGCCTTCATCAGGGCTATGAAAAGAACCAGATAACAATAGGTATGAGAAACTATAAACATTGAATAATAAAAAGTTAAAATTAAAAAGGTAGAAGGTATAGACAAAAAATGTAGGTAGAAAAACTTAAGTAAAATGAAGTAGATAGAGTGAACATTAAAGTAAAATAAAGTGGGTAGAATAATAACAGTAAAAGAGAACTAAGAAATAAATAATAACGGCAACAAAGTGTGGACTAATGAAATAAACATAATAAAAATGGTAATCTTAGAATAAAATATAAAACAGAGAAAATGAATATGAAGTTATATAAGGAAATAATAGATACAAATAGAAAATTAAGATATTGTAAAATCTATCAAAATATACTGACTACGTATAAGAGAATAAAAAGTTAAAATATATAAATAAGTTAAGTATATCTCAATTTTCAATTTATATCTATTATTTCCTTATATAACTTCATATTCCTTTTCTCTGTTTTACATTTTATTCTACGATTACCATTTTTCATTTCTTATGTTACCTTATTTTGATTATGTTTATATCATTAGTCCGCACTTTGTTGGCGTTATTATTATTTATTTCTTAGTTCTATGTTAATGTTATTATTCTACCTACTTTTAAGGTTCTCTCTATCTACTTCATTTTACTTTAAGTTTTTCGAACTACATTTTTTATTTTAGGCTATACATTTTATCTTTTTTATTTTAATTCTGTATTGTTCAATGTTTATAGTTTCTCATACCTATTATAATCTGGTTCTTTTCTAAGCCCTGATGAAGGTCTGAACTTCAGGCCGAAACGTCGGCAAATGTAAAAAAAATATTATTTATTTTAGATATTTTTTATTTCGACTGATCACGCCAACCATTCTTCTCTTCAATAATTAAATATTAATTCATTCTAGCACTAAATTAATGTAAACCGAAAATTAAAAAATTGCTTCCATTAAAAAATATTTCATACTTTTAGTGATTAATTATCAATGGTTCGCAACATTGCCTTTATCCCCAAGTAATTTGGGTAACACTGACCAGCTCAAAAGTTTTGCAATCCTAAACTACCAAAAGAGTATTTACGTCAGCTGCCATATCTGCATTGTAAATACTATCTAGATACGAAGTTTTAGTTCTCATAAATGAACTATTCTATTTCAACAGATCAACTAATAGTCAAGTTTAAAAAATGTATGCAAGAAAAATGATTATGCTAAGTCATAGAAATAATACATTAATAATAGAAAATTTACTCACTTCATCCAGAAGTTCCTCTTCCGGATTGGACCAAATAACATCCTGCTCTTCAATAGGATTCTGTCCTTTTCTATTTTTCTTCTTTCCTTTGGTCTTACCATCAACTTTATACAATTTACAAATGAATATGTAATAAGCAAAATCATAGGCCATCTTCTTTTCGCAAGCTTTCTTTATTTCTTTGCTGAAAATAGAAAAGATAAATTTAATTATTAACAAAACTTCAGAATCAATTCATTATATAGGAAACTATATCTATTTTTTTAATAGAGTAATTATAAATGGTTAAGATTTTAATTTTGCTTTGTTTAAATTTGTGTATACTTTATTAAGTTTTATTTTTTATGGACTCTGTCCCAAAGCTTGGCATTTTCTTAATGTTTTAATAGTATAGAAATAGTTGACCATAGTTTAAGGTTGGTCAGGGGTGCAGTTAATTGACACATACTATTCAATGTAGTAGTGTTTATTTCATTTGCCAACGTATCAACCAACATTATGGGTTTTCATCAGAGCATATCATCTAGCTCTGTCAGAAGAAGGTAGAAAACTATTTAATATTTTAAGATTATAATTGTAAATTATGAGCGATTGGAATGTTTGTTGTATATTTAAACCAACAGACATTAACCATTGTAAAATATATGTTTTGTGTAAATATCTTATAAATTGTGACGCTTATGAAAATAAACATATAAATCTAATTTGTTAGATATATTAATTATACTAGTAACTAAGTTATACATTAATGAATCTAGAATACAACAAAATAATATATCTTACCATAACGAGTCCAAAAGAGGAACAGATATTTGTGCAGGGATATTAACGAACCTCTCATTAATTACAAGACCGAGTGGTTTGGAACTATCTGATAGTAAAGTTCTTATCATCGTACTGCAACGGTCTGTTCCATGTTCAGTACTCAATTCCACCAAAAGTGTTCTCAATTGTGATATGCATTCGATGTTCTACAATAAAATAAATCAAGAAATTATCAGTTTATGAAAAAGAAGTAGGAATTTTTATTTAAATTTTAAATAAATTATAATGCCTGCCAGATTTAAATATTAAAAGCTATACAATTCAATTTGGATTAAAAATTGAAACTATGTATGAAAATGTTCGGAACTTTTGATAATAATAACTATTTAAAATACAAAAACCTTAACTGAAATAATTAAGTGTTGAGTCAAAGTGAGAAAAACTATGACTCAATGCAGAAAATTAACTTTATGTTGGTATTGAGTCATGTTTACAAAAATGAATCTATACTGTATTGTTGTGACAAATGTTACAAGCTTCTAGGATCAATTTAATTATTTTTATAATTTAACCTTTAAATTTTAATTTTTTATATAATTTCTACGAAAATTTTCAGATATTATTTAATTTTTCCCTAATGATGTAAAACAATATTCTTCTCGAAACCTGTTTGATGGTAACATTAGGTTATTATTATTATTTAATTTAATTTTTTTTTCAATACCTCATATAATAAGGTTAATGAATGGGGAAAAAAGGTAATCTTATTAATTCTTTTATAAATATTAAAGAATTGAAAAAAAAAATTATTATTGTTATTATTGAGAAAAGAATAAACTAATAGCCCAAAAAGACCTTTATTGTGAACTGAGTAGTTGATTAAGTAAATATTATTAATGAGAGTTTAGCCTATTGCATGGATTAATATTTTAAAAAATACCTGTTTTTCAGTGAGATTAACAACCGTTGTAATTCCAAAAACGTCATTTGGATCATCTTCATCTTCATCTTCCAATTCATTGTCACTTTGCTAAAATAAAAAAAATAAAATTAGCTTTAAACAGGCAATACTTTAAATTATGACATTTGTATTTCGATACATGTCTTAGCAATTTACTGTTTTTTAGTCATAATATTGACATTTTTAATAAATGGTAAAAATACTAAACTATAAATAAAGGGATATAAACTATATTTTGGTTTGAACACAATATAAAAACAGTAAGCAATCAGGCTTTAAAAATTGATTTGTACAGAGAAAATGTACCTTTTTCAAATTTATTTATTTAATCATTTACTTACATGGCGATTCTGTATAAGGTTTTTAATAAAGGGATAAGGTTCAACATAAATTTTAACAAATCAGCCTTAAATTAAAAAAACAAATCATGTCACTTTTAGAAAAGCATACTTGTAAATTATAAAAACAGACAATATAATTGTACATTAAATAAAGTTTAAAATGTTGTACTTCATCACATAAGTTAGTTTGTACAATGTGCTCTTCAATTGTTTAAATATTGTTTTCCTTACCACATTGGTTCAGAAATTTTAATAGCTTATAATTACTATTGAGTTAACATAAATAATTGAGCTCTATAATGTACAACACAAAACATAATTAAAAATGTGATCCCTTTATTTATATGATAGAGTTTTAAGGTAAAAATGCATTTAATCACTACCAACAGATTCTTTCTAGCAATTTAACCACCACAACCCTAAACTAAATTTACCTATAGCCATGTGATTATTTTCTTTGAAGTTTTGAGTATATCAAGTTACATAAGTCTAATTTTGGCATTTAAATGATCATGAATGTCTTTAAATATCAATTGTGACAAATGAGGTCTTCCTTATGTATTCTGACACTTTTAACAAATTACTTGGTGAGGTTGATCATGCAATTGGTTTCTGATTTATATTTATAGGTTATATTCTAGAAATCTCGAGCTTGAGCTGTCAGAAAATACAAAACTTGAATGTTTTGAGTATTCAGCTTAAAATTTACAATTTCGGGTGTTAATACGACTGTCTACCATATTGCATCAACTAAATAAAATGACTTTATAATAAAATGGTGATTTTTATATAAACGATTCATTTCATGGGGATGACAGAACACACGATCATGTTGACTTAAATTGTTACGTAAAGTAAAATATGAAAAAATTTGGCATACCTTCACAACACTCCCAACAAAGCTTTGTCCAATGATCAACTCAGTCAATGCAGAAAGGTTCAAATGAGCTTTAAGGAACAACTGTTGTAAAAGTTGTTTTATTCCGTGAAAATCAGAATCGATGGGGTTTCGGCCTTCGAATTCCACTTGTATTTCCTAAAAGAGGAAGAAAAGCGTTTTAAATAAATTAATGAGAAAATGGTAGTTAATTGATGAAGAAGCACGTGGCAGGAAACTTACTTGTTGACCAGTGTATTCTCCTCCTTCTTCATTTTCGGAAGAATTGTCAGATTCATCGCTGCTCCTCTCCTCTAGGGCGATTTCCCTCTTCTTCGGCGGTGCAGACATCGTCTCTTAGATCCGGACAGATTGCTGGAAGACGCTGGAATAAGCGGCGAAAGGTTCTAGTGTTGGTTATAGCTGGTTGGCCACGCCCAGTTCCAAGTTCATCAAACTTTCCCTGATCGATTTGCGCCTGGGTCTTCCCCCCGCAGTTTTCTATTTAGCGATGAAAGTTATTTAGAGAGTCTAGAAAATGCTTTTCTCTCTCTTCTTTAACCAGAACTAAAGATTTAAACAGAATTAAAGATAAAGTATAAGTTAGTAAAGTTACTCGATAACGCATAAGTAAATAAAGATAAATATATCTTCTGTTCATTATTCCTAGAATTGGTATCTTGAGATTTTATTTATTATATAAACTAGCTTTACTCGGCCACGCGCTTCTGTGGCCTAGCCTGGCAAAATGAAAAAGAAAGAAAATAAAAAGCACATATGAATAGATTAATAGCAAAGGACATCTTGTCATTTTTAAAAAGTTGGGAAACAAATTTATCTGTGAAATCGCTTCAATTTAAACTAATTCTAATGATTTTTTTTCTCATGATTCAAATTGAACATTCATAATCATCTGAGTCACAAGCGGATCCAGGATTTAATTTTTTTTTTGGGGGGGGGGCTTCAGCCAGAAAGATTTTATTTTTTTTTCATATGCATATAACGATATTAATTTGAAAAAAAAAATAAAGAAATTAATTACCTATATGAAATGGTGTTTAAGTGGTTCTTGAAGTCCTATTAAATATAATTACAAGAAAAAGAATGCATTAAGTGATAGTTTTTAATATTGTTTTCTGTAAAACATGATTATATTTTACCATTTTTGGGGGAGGGGAGGGAGGCTTCAGCCCGAAAGCCCCGCCGTAAATCCGCCTGTAATCTGAGTGAATACGCCGTCATTCATAATCATCAGAAACAGTCTGAGTAGAACTTACAAAACTAAAATAAAGAACGTATAATAGTATTGGACCTACATAAGGAGAATCATATAACTTCTTCAAATGATAATTTCAATTACTTTAGTAATTATAAAATTTTCGATTAATCAATAAAAAAGAAATAAAAAAATGCTTGCCTACCTTTGGTAGTGAGCAAGAAAAAAAGGAAATGGCCTTTTCACATACAAAGCAGTAAATGTTTAAAACTCTATAACTCTACAACGAACCTTCCGCTTTCGATGATTTTTTATTTTGTCAGCAATTCAAAAATCTTTCAAATAAATGTGGGTATTTAGTCAAAAATTCTGTACTTTCGTTATCGTCAAATAAAATATTGAATTCATCGTAACATTTTTTTAGCTTGTTTTCGGCAAAGTATGTTATACACATAAATTAAAATGGTTTCAAGGGGAAGACTTTAGCCAAGTTTCGTTAAAATCGGTAAAGCCGTTTTTGCGCTACAGTTTATAGCGACACATTTCTTTGCGGCTTTGAACAGAAAAACATTTACATTTTTATTTTTTTTACATGCCAAAAACCTTCCCAGGAGTGTACGAAACAACTTCTCAAAGTTTCATGGCGATCCGATGAATGGTTTAGTAATGCACAAAGGACAAACAGACAGACAGACATACATTCATTTTAATATATATAGATTAGGCCATTGTTCACCAACATTTTATTTTTTAACTATTTTATTACGACGACGTTTCGACCATCACTAGGGCCATTTTCAAGTCTTTTGAGTCCTCCATTAAATATCCCTTATTAGTTTCGTATTAAATTTATAGAGAAAATTCAGTTGTCCTGAAATTTAAGAGTTTCCCCATTACGTCAGTCCCACCTAAGATATAAAGGAAACTCTTAAATATCAGGATAACTGAATTTTCTCTATAAAATCAATACGAAACTAATAATTGATATTTAATGGAGGGCTCAATAAGACTTGAAAATGGTCCTGGTGATGGCCGAAACGTCGTCGTAATAAATAGCTAAAAAATAAAATGTTGGTGAATAATGGCCTAATTTATATAATAAATAAAAAATAAATATAATTGCATCTAGCCCTCAATTATTATATTTCATTGACTTCAATAAACCTGGTGACCCGGCGCAAGATTTATTATATTCTATTAATTAAATTTAAATTTTCTATTTATTTAAATTTATAAAATAAAATAAATTCGAACCAGCGTTACACATCTATTTCCTAAACTAGTGGTTAACATCAGTAATTAATATCTCTCTCTATCGTTTAAACTACAATAAATCCTAGTAAAATGTTCAATAAGTACGATTTAATTGTGTTTATTTAAATAAGTCCAAAAGTAAAGAAAAATACAGACTTATGTCTAGGAAAATATAGCTTCCTCCTCAATTATATTGGGTAGATAAAGAAAAATAAACCCAAAATTTATGAATATAAAAAAAAGTTTAAGAGGAGAAAAAAAATACGTCTGCACATGTATAAATAAAATAGAAGACTTATGTAGCAAAGTATAAAATAACATTGAAGTTTAAACCCTAAATCGAGATAAGCAATGAAAATCTCGTAATTCCATCGGTATATTTAAATCATCTAACTCCAGTCTTGGGGTTTTAAATACAAAAATATATATGAAAGTAAATAGATGTCTCTGAAATATAAATTATTAAGGAGCGTACGATATTTTACAAAATATAGGAACTAAATCTGTATCACATCATAAATTTTCTTTAACATTTATCTTTTTCTTTTAGTAAAATTTAATAAAACGGAGTTACTGGAACTGTAGCTATCGTGGATATACTCAAAAAAAATTATTTGTTTAAAATTTTATTTATATTTCAGTAACCCACATGTTTTTGGGTCGCTGAATGATACAAATTTTGTCTGAATTTTTTTTTTTTTGCAAAATTTTGATACTGTTGGTTAATCAACTGTAATATTTAAACAATCAGACCCTTTCCATCCCCTCTTTTTCTTACCGAGAAGAGCACTATATATAAAATTAAAATGAATAGAATTATCTTAATTTTATGTATTATAGTTTTTATTTATAAATCAACATACAAATAATAAAGTAACAGTAGTATATATATATATATTTTTATTATTTATTAATGATATTTACAATTGTATTAAAGAGATACATTGAGCTAATTTGAACATATGGATATAATGATGTGAAAACACTTGTTGAGTAACTACCCAATGGTAGCACTCTAATGATATGTCTGCATTAGGAGATCACGGGGCCATCTTCTTTTCAGACGCCTCGGATGGTTACCAGGAATTGAAGAGGAAGCAAGGTTAGAAACGAGAGGGTTGGGATGATTCTGAAGTTTATTATGGAAGGATAGGTATCTGGATTGGGAGAGATCTGAAACATAAGAAACATTAAGGTCATTATGGATGGTTTTATTTGTAAAAAAAGTAGAGAGCATTGAGCATTTTGAATTGTAAGGATTGGATACGAGAGGAATTCGATGGTTTAGTGGAGCCTCATAGCTCAACTCCGTAAGTCCAAATAGGCTTTATTATAGTCATGTATATGAGTCTTTTGTAATTAATTGAAAGTTTAGAGCGTTTGTCTAGTAAGTGCTGAAGTAATCGTGAACGTCGACCGGTTTCTTGTCGTTTCAGTCTGGTATGAAAAATTAAAATTAACATACAGAAAATATTAGTTTTCATATTTGAAAGGTTCTTTTATTTAATTGTTTTATCATTTTAAAAATAATAAATTATTCTACATTACTATTACAATCAAAACTATGTTGGATCGTTGAAGTAAGCTGTAGTTGAAACTGTCAGAAAAAGTAAAAGAAGCACCACCACAAATTCATTCCTCTCTTTTCGAATGACTCTGTATTTTCTGATCATCCTTATTTCTGAATCTTCTTCCGCATGTTCTCGTTTCATAAATGATTTTAGTAACACATTCAAAATTCAAAAACCAAAACAAAGGATATAACCTTCGCAGTAGAACATACTAAAAAAATAGAGATCACATCTTTGCTCGTAATTGTCCGATTTTAACGAATTACAATATACAATATCAACAAAGAGGTGTATAGTTTTTGAGTTATTCGGAATTTAATTTTACCATCCCTCTTAACTTCTTTTCCAGCTTCTTTTCGTTGAAGTATGTTATATGGACAAACTAAAAGAGCGTCGAGAAGAAGACTTTAGCCAAGTTTCATTGAAATCGGTACATTCGTTTAGGCGATACAGTCTATAGCAAGACAGTTTTTTCGGCCGCTATTTTGAAAGTAAAAGGCGGATAGTAATGTCGATGAAGGAGGATCATCCTCGGGTGACCTCTGATTTTTTAGAATAGAATAGAAATAGAATAGAAAATTAAACTTTATTCGGGGACTAAGTCCCTTTAGAATAACAATGATGAGTTAATACAAAGTAAAGTACAAATCTGGCCAAAAACTAACTTATAAAATTTTTAATATTATATACATTATTTAAAAAGTATGTAACCAGTGAAAAATAAAAAATAAAATATATATACAAATGAACATAAAATCTTCTTAAAATTACTTAATTGTGATGAAAAAAAAAAAAAAAAAAAGAAAAATTACATATTTATATATACATAACTACACAATTTATAAACAATAGGCTATCTAATAGAAAACTAACTTAATACAAAATGTAATATCTTTTTTTTTTTTTTTTTTATTTCTTTATGACATTTACAACTGTATTACATAAATACATCAAGTAAATTTGGACATAATTGATATAATGACATGAATACACTTGCTGAGTAACTACCCAATGGTAGCACTCTAATGATATGACTACATTACGAGATCACGGGGCCATCTTCTTTTCAGACGCCTCGGAGGGTTATCAGGAATTGAAGAGGAAGCAAGGTTAGAAACGAGAGGGTTGGGATGATTCTGAAGTTTATTATGGAAGGATAGGTATCTGGATTGGGCCAGATCTGAAACATAAGGAACATTAAGATCTTTATGGATAATTTTATTAGTGACAAAGTAAGGAGCATTGAGGATTTTACGAAGGATTTTGGATTGTAAGGATTGGATGCGAGAGGAATTCGATGGTTTAGTGGAGCCCCATAGCTCAACTCCGTAAGTCCAAATAGGTCTTATTATAGTCAAGTATATGAGTCTTTTGTAATTAATGGGAAGTTTAGAGCGTTTGTCTAGTAAGTGCTGAAGTAATCGGAAACGTCGAGCGGTTTCTTGTCGTTTCAGTCTAGTATGAGGATTCCAAGTTAGTCGTTTGTCCAGGTGGAGTCCTAGGTATCGGATTTGCTCAACAGGGATAAGTGGAGTATTGTTAAAGGAAACTGTAGGACAGGAAGTCGTAATAATATCTACAGTGGTTTATATAATAATATGCAGACACTAAGATAAAATAAAATCTTAGGATACTTGTGGTGTAATGGAAAAAAAAAATAAGTAAAATAAATAAAAGGAACTATTTATACGTACATTCTCATATTGGCACACATAAAGACAAAAATATAAAATATAAGCATATATACCCGAAAGAAAAAGCACAACCTAAGGAGAAGAGAAAAATACAAAAATAGTAAAAATAATAGTCAAACTAGGTGACAAAGATCATTGCTGTTTTATTTTAAAACTTAAACAGTAGGCACCACTATTTACTTCACGCAAATTCAGTTCATAAAATGAAATTTATGGTGGTAAATCTTCTGTTTGGAATGTAAGGAGATATTGGAAAAGAAGGTATTTGAAAGTTGACAGGGAAGAGGCATGACGGATGTTATGTGGCAAAGAATTCCAATAGGAGACGGAACGGGCTAAGAAGGAACGTTCATAGGTTTTTGTCCTGTGGAATGGAATATAGAGGTCAGAAACACGGGATCTTGTTTTTATTGAGTGGACTAAGGGTTTAGACTGGAGGAGACAACAGATATAGGAAGGATGCTGGGAGTTGATCGTTTGGTATAAGAAATTTCCAAGGAAGTATAGGCGGCGGGAAGAGGGGAAGAGCCACCTTGAATCGGCATATAGGTGGGACACATGAGACCATCTCGAAGTGCCGAAGACGAATCTTAAAAAACAGTTCATGATTCTCTTCAATTTGATATGGATTGATTTTATATCCAAATTTGAAAAATATTCGTCCAGTTGTTTCGGAGGAAATGCGCGAACGGCGTACGTACAAACAACGGTTTTTTAGTCATTTTGAATATTTAATAGTTGACCGTTGCATTATAAAGGAAGGAGGTGGTCTGGGGTGAAGATCATAAATAGGCTAAATAGTGGTAAAACTATTTTATTAAAAGCCTACGTTTCGACCCGACTTTGCAGGTCTTCTTCACTTTGAGTTCTAAGTAAAACTCCTAGCTGAACACACCTCACATTTCTCACACTCAACACATTTCTCTGAAGAAGACCTGTAAAGTCGGGTCGAAACGTTGGCTCTTAATAAAATAGTTTTGCCACTATATAGCCTATTTATGACCGCCACCCCTCCTCCTCTCCTTCCTTAATAATACAACGGTCAACTATATAATATTCAATGTTATATTTATTTATTTAATAACATCCATACCGTGCCTGCTAGAACCCTCCCCCCTATAAAAATTAAATTGACTTCTTATGTTGGTTTATATTATTTAATATCTGAATTTTGTTCCATTCAACTTTTTGTTGCTTTATTGATGGACTAAAATTAATTATTTTAATAAGTTTTTTAATTTTTTATTTTTTACGAGTGTGGAGCTCCACTGAAGTTCGGTTGCACCACCTTAAGGTCGGCACTGGTGAAGAGTGGAAAAATTTATTTCTCAAGTTATTTTATATTGTGTAATGATTGAATTTTATTTTACTCAGTATTTCTCTAATACAGTTTCTTTATTACTAGGATAAAATTGAATACGTTTCGTATATATTTTTTTTAATTTTTAACATGTGGCAAGTGCTTCAGATGATCAGCGCCCTCAAGGAGCGTCCCTCCTCGGTTGTCCGGCGAAGACTGGCACTATTTTTAATCAAGATCCTGTAACTTTTTTTTTTTAGTATTTTGGCGGAAAAAGTGTGTCTGAGATTCAAAATGTTGGAGAGAAACACGAAATTCCTGCTGATTAAAAGGGCAAAACAGAAAGGACATAGACAAGGGGGACAAGAAGGAATGACAGATCTGAAACTTAAATGAAAGATATTTCTTATGAAAGTGTGCATGAAGTTGTATAAGTATAGAGTGTACAAGTAACTTGGCAACCATTTATCTCTCTGAACCATTTTTACCTCCCTTACTCACCCATATCATTGGGAATCCCTTATTGCCGAAGGAAGACAAATATTGCAGAGGGAAGACAAATATTACGGGAGAGAAGATTTTTATTTTGCTGTGGATCCAAGGAATAAATCTTCATAATCTGGTTCTTAATTTAACGGATCATTGGTCCTTGCTTTCTTATGTGGGTTATATAAAAGTGTTTAAAGCTTCAAATTAATACAATTATCAATTTATTAATAAAAAATATGAGACATATCTAAATTTTAAACATGTTTCTTATTAACATCTTTACTAAGGCAACTTGTTATCAACTTGATAGTTTAAAATATATGTCATGAAGCATAGTTGTTAGATGACCAGTGATCATAGGGATATTTGCGAGAAACAAAATCTTTACAGAGTACACTTTTATACCAAAATGTTTTGGGGACCAAATCCGTTTGTAATACCTCAACGACGGTAATAGCAGAATGAAACATTCACCACAATTAATTTAAAAGGGATTATTCTTCAGATTCTTTTCGAAGCATTGGTTCTCGAACATGATATAAAATCTTTTCAAGTTTAGATATTTCTAATGCTGTTTCATCGATTTGGACGGCGGCTTCTTTCCTTTTTCTAGGTTGTTTCGGTTTCAAACGCAGATTCGGAGATAATTTCAGCGTAGTTATGGTTCCTCCAGAATCACCTACAAGAATCAATGGCATCTTATGACCCGCTGGATTAAATGTAAGACAAGTGGCGATATCGTCGTCGGCGCAGACAACGTATTGAGCACACGCAGCGATGTATTTATTAACATTGAGATCATAAATGTAAACACGGCCTAATGCGGTGATCCCTGCTATGACTGTACTCGAATATGGAGCCCATTCCACGTCCTGAACAGAGGCATCTAAATTGTAAACGAACAAGGGTTCAGGTCTCCCATCTTCCCATATCTTCATTCTCCAGTCACCACCAGCAGTCGCGAATATCTCGGGTATAAAGCTGTTGTAACTGATCCTATAAACAGTTAGCTCATGTACCTTCATATGATAAAAATATGTTGAAGCATATGAAATATTGCATTTATAAATAGTGCCAAAGGCAGTTCCGACCATAAATATTTCAAAGTCTTTGGGATGGAACGTAAGGCAAGTAGGCATAGCTTTGAGTTTCAGATGAGGAATATCTGAACTAAGTTCATGTTTATCAATGTATAAAGTTATGATCGGTGAATGTAAGAGTTCATTTTGAAGTAGTAGCCACTTGCAAATACGACCATCACCCCCTGCGGAGAAAAAACTCAATTGTCTATCTCGATGGTCATCACACCACAATACACTCCATACCTGACTTCTATGGTTGTGTTCAACTGTACTACGAAACTGTGTTTCGCAGTTCGGTGTCTGCATATTATGAACGGCTACACTCCCATCTTGAAGTCCGACACAGACATAATAACACTTCCTGGGATGAAAATCTAAACACAATGCTCCTGAATCGAAATGTTTCACAAATTCTGGAAAAGAGGGATTTTTAAGCGTGAAAACGGATAAGACCCCAATATCGTCGTTCTCAGCAAAATCTAAGATACCAAACGTGACTCCAAAGAGATCTTTGTAAGCAGGGTTCCATTTTACTTGCGTAACGGCTATTCCTTTCGTGGGCTGGTATTTGAATTCCCACAGAGGTAATAATACGCCTTCTTCTGTCCTGTATTTATCGCCGGGATCTTCGTAAAATTGACAATCTTGAGCGAGATGATCGTAAGTGTTTTGATTTAACATTCTTTCAAGAATTTTGATTCCTTCAGCCATTCTCTTATATATTGGGTCTTCAGTCTTTACCGGCTTCTTAATAGTACGATCTTCTTTCTTCACGGCCATGATCATTTTAGCTTGCCTTTCTTTTTCTTTTGCCTCCTGAATTGCAGCATAATCTTTTTGATAATGATCATAAATAATCCATTGCGAGACCTGGCCAGTTACATGGGATCTTGGATTAGGGGCAGTCTGAGTACCCTTATCCCTCGTAATACACGCTATGGTCAAAACAGAACGGTCGCTATAATTGAATCGGTTAACTAACTTTTTCCCAGGTATGTCCTCTTCAAAGGCATCGATATGTGGAGTCATGGCTCCTTCTTCACCCTCTCCTTCTTCCCCTACGTCTGATGACGTTTCTTCTCCCGCTTCCTCGGTTTCTAAACCTATTTCATCCAATTCGGTAACCTTCCTACTCATCCTCTTTCGCTCATCTACTTTAGCTCTTAATAGTCGTTTTTGTTTTTCATTGATAGCTGCTAGCTTTAGTGCCCATTTTTCTTCCCTCTTTATTCTAACAGCTTGAACTTCCGCTTCTTGGCTATTGGAATGAATAATACAACCTTCTATTTCATACAATACTACTTCACGGCTGTTTTTAATGACTTTCTGAAACTCTCTCTTTTCGTGATTAAATATAACTCTATCCGTATCGAGATATGGATTGTCTGAGAGCAATGACCTCGTAATACCTTCATTCAATTGATGATTGGTCAACTCTTCAGGAACTGAATCCACTAGCGCAGGTCTAATCACCAATTCTTCTTTGCCCTCCCTAATTGCATCTTCAACACTTAGCGTATTTTCTTTTACCTGAGCTATTTTGTAGCGTCTTTCCTTAAACTTCTCCTCTTTCTCTTTTATTTTTTTCGCTAACGCTATTGCTTCTTCATCTTCTTCAGTTTCTCCAAAGCCAAGAATTTCCTTTCGTTCTGGAGTACGAAGTTGTAGTTTTTCGGGTTCTTTAGGCTTGACTTCAGCTTCAGAAGGTTGTGTATCGGGTTGAGCAACTGTATCTTCACCCTCTTCATTTTTTCCCGGCATTTTGATATATTTTTCTTTACACTATTTATTCACATATATAATTCTAAAAGTAATTACTAATATCAATATAAGTTTCAACTAACCTAAACCCCGACCATTCCTGCTAAGTTGCCATAGAAACTGAATAATATAAATACGTAGGAATTACAAATGTTTTCGAAATTATATACGTATTTAAATTACAATAAATGACCCATATATTTTTAAAATTCGGAATATATTTAAATATTAGTAATATTAAAAAGGCAAAATTATTTTAAGAAAATTATTCTGATGAAACCGTGATTAAATTAAAAGTATTTACATTTTAAAAAAATAATCTGATAGGAGGGAAGAAAAAATCAGTAGGGTGGTCAATTGCAGGACAAATAGTTCAATAAATTCTTTAAACCTTGCTGACAACGAATAAACGTTTTTAGAACATATTTATTCATGAAAAATAAATGGATTGCTTTATAATTATATTATTTACCTTACTAATAAAATTAAATATAAATTTATCTTTTATTTTATAATTATCAAAGCACAGCAATTCAGCTTACCTTTATTAAACATTCTGCTTACCTTATCGATTAAGAAGAGGGACGCTAACCTTAAAAATAACCTTCTCCGGTTTGTGATAACTTATCAGATTATTATGTTGTAATTGCTATGTGCAAAGAGAAGGGAGCTTTAGTTTTTAAGTCATCTTTTGACGAAGTCAATTCTTCTACAGACCCATACATCGAAAAACTAAAAGAGCTTCATATTAATTGTCACCCAGTTAAAGCTTTAGATTTCGAGTTTTGTAACTTGGCTGAATTGAGTGAAAAATTACAGAATCACGATCAATATGATGGTATGTATTACTTTTTAAATATTAAAACCGTACATACTTCTGTTTTATATCAGGAATGTAATAATTTTTCCTTGTAGGAATCATCTTTTCTAGTCCAAGGTGTGTCGCTGCTGTGGAAATGTGTGTTGGAGATTTGTCTCAATGGAAATATAACAGGGCTTTTGTAATTGGTGAAAAAACTGCAGAAACTGTTGGAATTAAACTAGGTTTAGTCCCAGAAGGTCAGGCGTCTGGAAATGCTTCAAACCTAGCATCTTATATACTTAATCGTTGGTTATTATCTCCAGTGTTTCAGTAAAATATAAATTTTTTTGTTTGATTTTAATAATTTTATGGTTTTCAGAACCTATCAAAAAACCGCTCCTGTTGCCATGTGGAGACCTAGCCAAAGAAACGTTAGGTGATATTTTGACCCAGGGGAATATCTCATTGGATAAAATAGTTGTATATAAAACAGTACCTGATCCAAATCTTGAATCATCAATAAGAAATATCCTTTCATCCCATAAAATAAATTTTATTGTCTGTTTTAGTCCCTCCTCTATTAATTTTTCATTACCTCTTTTAAAGAAATGTGGAATTAATTTATCCATTGTTGAGGTAATTTTTTTATTTATTTTATATACACTTAAGATTTTTATTTTAATTATTTATTTTTCAGTACATTATATTTTTAAAATTAATATATGTGGTTTTATTTCTCTCTGATTGAGTATAATAGATTAAGTTTTACAACAAAGTTTACACATTTTTTCTACTTCCTGGTGTACCTTCATAGGACCATTAATTCTTAGAATAAATAATTCAAATTTCAAAAGTTTCATCGTTTTCATCTGAAGCCAAACATTCTTTGCCTTAGATTATAATTGGTGATTGTTTTGTCTTTCTTTAAGCATACTTGCTTTTATTTGAAAATCAAGCTTATATACATTTTTTATTAGTTACGTCTTCACCAATTGGTCTGTCTTTCATGGGGAAGGGAGGATATGTCTAAAAATATAAAGAAGACAAAACCTGCAGAGCTAAAGGATTTATTTAATTATAAATGTAAGGTTAAATAAGGATGTCAATCCCGAACACTACATGCCAGAAATGGCTGGTCGGAAGAATAAAAAAAGTGTCTCGCAGTAATCTTGTTGGCTTCATTGTATCATCCTTTATCCATTATCCTTCATAAATTGTTCTTAATCTCGGAAAATTTTGACAGAAAATATGTCAATTCTTTCCATAGGTAAAATATAATAGTCTGAAAAAAAATCTAATAATTTGTGTAATACCCTTTTTTTTTAAATTTCTTCATTTATTTGGTGTGGTTATTCTGTGCCACCACCTAGTTGTTTTAGTGTTAACATTATGTCATGTATATAAAATAAACAGATAAGTTTATATTTCAAACTGCATCAAAAGTTAACTATTAATAATGTTCTTACAGTTTATATATTTTTATTTTCAGTGGATAGCAATTGGACCTTCAACTGAGAATTGTTTATTGAAACACAAACTGAAAGTAGGTTGTGTTGCTGACAAACCTACACCTGAATCTCTAGCCAAAGCAATGAAGGAATTTCTCGGATAGATCTGTAAAATTACTACTAGTTTTGTAATTTATATTTAAACGTAGCATTTATTTGAATTTACAAGAATTATAAGACTTCAAGAAATATCAGTTGATTTTTATTATAGTTATTGATAAGAATGAAAAACAAGGTTGTTAGCAACAAAATGGTTGTTATAGATTTTATTTATATTTATTTGTTGTATATTTATTAAATAAAACTATATTATTTTTTGAGATTGAACTTTAATTGTTGCCTATTTTCTTTTGATCAATTTAGGAAAACCCTAATTTTTTCTGTTTAAAATAATTCTTTTAAATTGTACATTTATAATCTTCTGTGTTTAAATACTCTAGGTTTAATTTTATGTATATATGTATGTATATATATATATATATATAGTTCATGTATATATACATAGTAGCTCAGCTAGTCACTGCCAGGGAAGTAGGTGAGCACTGACTTCTAGAGCTCAAGGTCCCAGGTTCGAATCTGGCTGATGACTAGTAATTTTTCATCAGTCGAGGATCGACCATCGGGCCAAGATATCCTGGGTGAACCTCAGCCTCTATAAAGTGGGTACTCTTAATTAAGGAGGAAAACTTGGCAGTTGAGCGTGATATTGGCCCGTCACCTCCCTGCACAACCATTGGCCTTGTAACAGTACTTACTCACATTATACTAAACCTAAGACCGTTCATGGGTTGTTAGTAGTACAGGTTTTATTATATATACAGGGTGTTCCGTAACTAGAGATAAATATTTGTAGTAGTGATAGACCTCAAGAGCTATGAAAACATTTATATAAACAATTGTCCAATTTTGGTGAGAAAAATGGGAAATTTAACTTTTGTTTTTTCTTAACTGTCATGTTTTTTTTTTTTAGTAGGAAGTGATTAATAAAGAAATATCTAATTTGCAATTGCTTCAATGTAAACTCGATAAAGTTCCAATGAAAATACAGTTTATCTTGTCTTATCTTTATAGTTAAATAAAAATTTAGAATTTTTCTGAGGTATTTCTATTATTCGTACTGATCCCTGTCAATTACTAGAATAATTGAATTTCGGGGTGTCCATCGCTAGTGCAAACTTTTTTTTTTAAATGGAGGTTGTACTGCATTATTGCTCAATCCGTTAAACTCTAAGAAAAATACATTTTTACTAAAGTAGTAAGTATAATTTCATGAATACTTGATATATTGTTCCGAAAGAATCCTGGTGGGATGTCATTAATTTATATTGTAATAAAGGTTAATACAGTTATTATCATTAAGCTGTTTTACCAAACTGTAATTCCGTTTCGATAGATCTGTTACATAACCTAATTATAAAGGAACTAGAGATGTTGCTTTGCACTTAAATGATATAAGAAGAATTGTTCTTTTCTTGGCGATACTTCCTTTTATATAACCTAATGTTATCGAAGTATATATGTAACATTTGACTGTATTTCTTAGTTAAGTATGCAACTTTAGAAACGCAGGATATAAATATTGATCAAGTTAATTGTTAAAACCATTTAAACAGGACTTATGAAATGCTTAACTAAGCGAAAGTATGTTTTTAAAAAATTACAAATTATATGTGAGTTTTTTTTTCATCATCCAACTGTACTACAGATACTTTTAAAAAAAATCCTCATTTAATATGCTTCAAATCCACATTACATTATATACTGGATATATAATACCTGTGATAGAACATGGAATCACAAGTTGGAATGGCTGCACCCTCAAATTTAAAAAAAAATCAGTTGTCCAAAAGCAAGGGCTTAGAATCGTAACTGGATGCCTTAAGTTCACACCCATTAAAACAACGGAAATGCTTACTGGCCTACAAAAAATGGAAGATAGGAGACACATCAAACTCCTTAACGTAAGAATAAAAGCAAACTGTATTCCAAACCATCCCCTAAAAGAGAGAGTTGGAAAAATAGATCATACTCAGATAAAGTATGAAAGTCCTCAACATAAAACTGCTCAACTAATTGATAAGTACCCCCAAAGTAATATAAAAGCAGAAGCCGTGAAGTTTGCTGAAGACTCCTTGCCTTGGACACAAAGGATCAGACCAAAAATCAATTCAGAGATACCGGACATAACAAAGAAGAGTGAGTGACCTTGATACTCTGGTAGCCAAAGCCTACACTCTAGAGCATATCAACTTAGCCTATCCTAAGAATAAATGGACGAGAGTATATACAGATGGGTATGCAGAAAATGCCATTACAAATGGAGGAGGAGGCTTTCATATTGAATTCCCTAATGGACAGATTCTCCAAAAAGCTGTCCCCGCTGGACTCATCTCAACGAACTATAGAGCTGAGCATGACTCCATTCTGAACGCAGCTAAGATCCTAAAGGGTTTTAAGAGATGTCCGCTGTCATGCATTGTATTCCTGACAGATGTAGCATCTGTTCTTGAATACCTAAAAAATAAATGGAAGAGTTCGCTGGGCACATTGGTTGAAGAGCTGGAAGATCTAAAAGCTCAGTACCAAGAGGTGGTTTTACAATGGATTCCAGGACACTGTGGGTTTGCTGGGAATGAAATCGCAGACCGATTGGCCAAGGAAGAAACACTGCCCTCCTAAATTAGCAGCCTACCTAGATTGAAGGAGTAAAAGTATTAACAAAGCAGCCATAAGTCAAAGGTGGAAAGCAAGTCACCCAAATCATAACCCCCATGACGTTTATTTCAAGCTTACCAGAAGATGCTTGTCATTCGTCATTTTTCACCTCAGAACGGGACATAAATGTTTAAAATCACACCTCTTCAGGAAGTTCAAGATAGGACCAAGTCCCCTGTGTGAATGTGGCCACAATGAACAAACCACAGAGCACATTCTGCAGAACTAACAGCTGGAGGAAGACATGCAGAGGCAGATATAGCCCTAACCCACAGACCTTGGGATCAAGCTTTTCGGAAGTCTGGAGGACCTAAGGAGGACCACTAATTTTATATTTTTACTTCTTGACATAGCCATCCAGAGGGAAGAACGAAGAAGAAGAAGAAGTCCACATTAATTAAACTGAGGTTTATTAGGGAAAATTTTGTTCAAATGTACCTACTGAAAGAACAAAGTGGATTCCAACAATTTTTTAAGGATAAACAGTGTTGAGATTTGTATTTAGCACCCCTAAAAACCCTTAAATTCAAATTTTAATAGTAATCGAAAATAAAACTTTTTTCTTCAAATTTTCCCCAAGGCTTATAAATAGCCTTGAATTTTTTTTTTTAAATCACATAAATTTTGATAATGAGGGATTTTGACGAATGTGGTATGTATCAAAGGAAAGTGAATTTCATGGAGATATGACAAAGCATAGCCACATCCTCCCAAAATTTCAGTGGAAAAAGTTATTACGGAAAAGATATTTTATTTGCAAATAATTAAAAATTTTTACAATGATGTAGAGATGTTTGACCGTTGATAAAATATGAGAAGGAGTTAGTCGGGGGTGCGGTCAAATAAATACTAAATTAAAATATAGTAATTATTTTATTTTAATTTTGCCCGACGTTTCGACTCGCATTTTGCATGTCGTCTTCAGGGCTACAAAAGATACAAAACATGTTGAGAATAAAAATTAAATATAAGTAGATATAAAATAAGAAGAAGTTGTCAGATACAGAAATAAAAGATGATATCAGAGATATAGTGGGTGACAATGTAGTAAAATATTAAGTATTATATATGTAGAAGATACAAATAAATGGGAAATAAGTATGAATAAAAAATGAATAAAAATAAAAATAAAGGAGAATATAGAATGTAAGTTAAAAGTAAACAGATTGCGATAAAAGATAAGGAATAAGTGTGTAACAAACTAATAGAGATTACATTAGATAACATTTGGCTATTTACATTAGACATTATTTGGCTATTTACATTAGATTACATTAGATAACATTTGGCTATTTACATTAGATATTATTTGGCTATTTACATTAGATAACATTTGGCTATTCACATTAGATTACATTAGATAACATTTGGCTATTTACATTAGATTGACATTTGGCTATTCTAGTTATCTAATGTAATCTCTATTAGTTTGTTATACACTTATTCCTTATCTTTTATCGCAATATGTTTACTTTTAACTTACATGCTATATTCTCCTTTATTTTTATTTTTATTCATACTTATTTCCCATTTATTTGTATCTTCTACATATATAATACTTAATATTTTACTACATTGTCACCCACTATATCTCTGATATCATCTTTTATTTCTGTATCTGACAACTTCTTCTTATTTTATATCTACTTATATTTAATTTTTATTCTCAACATGTTTTGTATCTTTTGTAGCCCTGAAGACGAGCTGCAAAATGCGAGTCGAAACGTCGGGCAAAATTAAAATAAAATAATTACTATATTTTAATTTAGTATTTATTTGACCGCACCCCCGACTAACTCCTTCTCATAAAAATGTTTACAATTTTTGTTGATATTCTCCTATGAATGATTATTTGAAAAATTACTAAGTTCTCTAAAAAGCAAAGTAAACACATTAATAAAGTGTATATATCTCTTTGAAATATGTATATTTGTAACAATATCTTCCTACAGAAAGAACAAAGTGGATTCAAATAATTTTTTAAGAAGAAACAGATTTGAGATTTTTATTTTTTTTTAATGAAAGAAATTCCTTTTTAATGAAATTCCTGATAATTTTTTTCTTCCTTATGATTCATCAGTCAATTAGAGATGAGATAAATTGAGTGTTAATAAAATTACTGACCACTTTTGAAATGAACAACAGGGGTTCAGTTTTTAAAATGAAAATTTTATTTTTTAATACTAGAGTAGGAAGTTATAGGAGCTCAACAAGTAGTGTGATAGTAGAGGTCTCTTGTGGCTAACATCAAAACTATTATAGTTACATTGTTTTAGTAATAAGTTACCAGTTCTGAAATAACAATTGAAAATATACAATTCTATGTCGAAGACACAAAAAATTATTTTAAAAAATACATTAAACTGTTGTTTTTGTTATTTCGCCATGGCAGCTCCCTCACAAAGATATTCTGCTATTCTATTTGTGCATTATTCAAAATTGCAAAATTGTTAAACTTGTTTACCCTACTAAAATCTTATGAATGATTATTTATGAATTAAATTTGAAGAAATATAACGGGATATATAATGATATGTTTTTTTTTTTACTATATATTTTCAGATATCTTACTAATGTATCATTGCATAAATGTTAAAACAATTTATATTATAGTAAAAAAATGAAGTCATCTTTAATGCAACATAAAATAAATTACATTAATTTTTTTCTTTAAAAAATAAGAGGTTTACTCCAGAAGATATAATATAAAACAAATAACATGCCATTATCGGGATCTGTTTTTCATATTTTTATGGCACAGTGAGCAAACCGATGTTCAAGGAATTTAGCTTTCGTCTAATGTTTACTGACTGTTATCCCAGTAAAACCCAAGAGATTATCTTTTAAAATTTAAAGAAATATAAAATAAATTTGAAAGTTTAAAGTTAGTAAAAAATCAATAAATCTCTCGGTCATTTGTAGATTTCTTAAAATAGAATGGATTTATCCATTCCAGAACAAGGGTAGTCTCCGAGCAAATGAATCGAATTGTCATTGAGAAAGCTGTTAGTGGATTAAGGATTGAAGCAGATATTGGGTTGAGACAGCAATATATTTGAAGAATAAGCCATCTATAAATGGCAGCAAATAAAATAATAAATTACAAAATAAAAACAAAATGTTAGTTTCAATTTTGTACCATATGCATCTATCCTGAAAATGTCTATTAAGGTCGAGCTAAACAATCTGAGATTTAAGTTTCTCCATTTTAGCAGGCTTCAAGACACAGCTTTGGATCAACACTATAATTGTTTTTAAGAATCATAAGGTAATAAAATAACACTGAAGACTTAAAAGTACCTCTTAAATACAATGAATAATATTGATGGCTTTACAAATTACTTAAAAATACTTGATGGCTTTAACATTGCTGATTAGTCAAATAGAAGTTACAGGAAACCTATATCAAAGTTTTGTAATAAGGTCAATTTGATTTTGATATTAATCCATTTTTTTGGAAAATGTAAAGAAATACTAATAACTATTAGTTAATTATTGACAATTTCACATTTTTTTCAGCACTGAAGTATGGATTTAGGGCACATTTAAATAACTCTAACTCTACATACATGTATAGAGGATATGATGTCAGAGGTGGTTTGGAAAGGGGTCACAGAGTAAACAGTTCTGAATGTTGTGAGTTCGATTCCCACCTAGGTCAGTTAATATTTCCTGGCAGCCCAGAGAATTGACACTTCCGCTTTGGTAAGTATGCGGCACTATTAAGAAGCTGTCAGGGATCGGACAAAAGGATCATGGTCTACTTGCCAGATCTGTTCCTCCCACTGATAACTGTATCAGTACCAGTAAAAGATGTTTATGTGAAATATACATAAAAATCATGGAATAGAAAAACTGTTTATAATATATAAGTCCGTTTCTGTTGTATTTACATTGTTTGTTTAAACTTTTTCAGAATATTAGCTCTATCAACCTATATTAGTATGCGAATATTTTTGTTTTTTTCTACTAGCTACTACTATATTTTAATAAATATCAGTTCTCATTATTCCACCCAGTCTGCCTTGCTAAGGATTACCCAAGACCTCCAAACCACCATAGATAAACAAAAAATTTCCATCCTGATCCTTTTTAACTTTTCCATAGCGTTTGATTCCCTCAATCATGAGATTCTCCTTTCCAAACTCCAAAGCCTGCCCATATCAAATAGCGTCCTAAAATGGTTCCTCTCCTTCTTATCCAATCCATCTCAGACCATTGTAATTCCGAACAAACCTCCATTGCCACTCCAATTAACAAGAGGAACCTCAGGGTTCCTCACTCTCCTTGACCATTTTCTCTATTTATATCAGTGACCTTCCTGACACCATTCAACATTCCTGTTACCACCTATATGCTGATGATTTCCAAATTTACCGATCATTCTAACCATCTGAGATGCCTGAGGCTGCCCGAAAGCTACTAGAGGATATTGATTGCATCGACAGATGTGCAGAAATAAATGAGTTAAAGCTGAATGCAGATAAAACTAAGGCTATTCTCATCAGGTCCAGACATCTTATTAGTTCCTTTTCTTCCTTTCCTCATTTTACCTCAATAACCATCCCATCCATTTTTCCCTACAGTCAAAAACCTATGGGTAACCTTTGACCAGTAGCTCTCATGGAATAACCATTTCTCTCAGATAACCCAAAAATCCACCTTAAACAACTCCAAAGATTCTTTAATTGTATTTCTCTAAAAACCAGACAGCTCCTTGTAACCTCTGTTATATTTCCCCACTTCGACTGCGCCTGCTTGATGTGTGGAGGACTATCTGCCAGGCTAGAAATGAGACTGAAGAAACTCATGAACTGTTTCATAAGATACATCTTTGGAATCCCCACGCGTTCTCATATTTCATTTTGGTACACCGAGTTGAAGTGGCTTTATCCTGATTTTCGATGACAATTCCTCCTTGTCCAAGTTTTCCTTTTCCAAGTCCTGAACCAAAAACCCTCCCTTTTTTTTTTTTTTTTTTTTCCTTCCTTACCTCGCCTTTTAGGCTATACGGGATTTTCCCGGGCCGGGGAATTTAAAATCCCCTCCGGCACCGGGACGCGAACTCGTACTTTTTATATCATCTCAAATCTCTGTTATCCGGTTACCAGGCAACTAGCGGTGCTGTTAGACACGCTTTAGCCTATTCGGCCACCCTGCCCCCTAAATGAGAGAACAATCCCCAAAAACCCTCCCTACATCCTGGAACTCCTTACTTATGTTCCTCTATCCACTCTCTCAATACTAGGTCCTGACTTATCGATTTATATATCCCCTCCCATAAAATTACTTCCTCCAGCAAATCCTTCGTTATTTGTGATATGTCCTTTTGGAACTCTTTACCTACCTCCATACGCCAATCCTCGTCCATAAATTCCTTTAAACAACTCCTGTATTATTACCTACCCCATATTCAAACTAACGCAAACTTGTAAAATTTAATTTCATCAGTTTAATTCAATCAACTGCACAAGTGTAATAACAATCAACAGTTAATTAGTTTGTATTATGTATTCTTCTAAACCAGAGTAAGACTCATAAATATGTTATTCTGTTATTATTATTAGGGAGTTTTAGTCCCAGAATAAAATTATCTTTTCATTTTCATTTCTTCCATTAATATTTTTGTAAAATACTCTTTCATAAATATTAATTAACTACAACTTATATTGGTGAGATAACTGCATGAAACATTATGTAGTATCCTGTGGCAATCATAGAGGCCTTCGGAATAAATTTGGTTTATCTCTAAAATGGTTCCCTGTCAGCCTTTAAAACACAGAGCATGATATCTTCCAAAGGAACCAATGAGGATCGGGATGCCTTGACTTCAATGACTTTTATTAAAATTGTAGTAGGGATGTAGCAATTGAAATTGAAATAAGTCACTCCTCCATGAAATTCTCTTTTGTTTGAAACCCCATTTAAGGTAAATTTACCGGTAATTGACATGTTACATACAATTTTTAATTTTTGAGTTGTATTGTTTATCAATTGGGATGACAAATGAAAAAAAAAAATTGTTTTTTCAATAATTAATTTATGGTAAACCAATATCGGACACCATTGGTCAAAGTACGAACTCCTTGGACCCTGATTGTCCGCTGTGGAAAGGTTTCAACAACAATGCATGTAGCATTTCAAAGGGTTCGGACATCTATTAATGTTTGTTATTTTTTATACCTAATCTATAATATTACTATTATTATAGTAATATTATCTACCATAAATGTTGTGGGACTATAGGTTCAATGAGACAATAACAAATACATTTTCACAAAATATAACATAATATAATTATTTTTTTACAAAACATTTTAATCACACACTCTCCATACCTGTGATCTAATAACTAATAAATTTGCACTGTCATTTGATAATAGAAACAAAAATAAAATAAAGTACAAAAACAAAAAAGAAAAATATAAACACATTTACATTTTACTTCAGTCCTGTGACAATCAGGTTATCAATGACAGTATACGCCTATTAAAATGTACATACATTAGTCTAAAAGTTTTGTTAGATCTTAAAAGTTGTACATTCTATAATATAGCAAAAACTTTTTAAAATTAAAAAAGAAACGAGATTGGTAACATTTCGTGCAATGTCATTTTAAAAGTTTTTCATTTTTCATATAACTATACATACATAATAATATTTATAAAAGACAAATACATTTGAACGAGGTAGGCTCTGTCGTAGACTTACAAATAATATGTACTTCTATTGCACGTATTTCCAGATATACTAATAGATTTATCTAAAATTTTCAATCATTTCTCTCTTTTTTTAAATTTCTATTTTTAATAAATGGGAAAACTTTATAAGCCACTGTTTTTTTTTTTTTTTGTGTTTTATTTACTTATTTTTAATTCTAACTTCATAATTAAAATAAGGTCTTTATTAGCATCACCCACGTAGCTTTCTCTTTCCATTGATATTGTATCAACATACAATTTTTTTTATTTTAAATATTTTCTTATAAAAGTACAGTCTTCAGAGTTCATTGTTTCGTGGGTGGCTGTAAGAGCAAGGTGGTTAAAACAAAACTGAACAGTTAAGGAAAATCAGGCAGGCATGGCAATGAACACTTGGAAAATTGGCAGTGAAGCACTGATGGCAGTTTTGTATAGGCGATTCCGACTACCGTCATTCCACATTTATAAAAAGTTAAGATTGGATGAATATTTATAATCAGTTTGAACCTCTTATATCAAATAAATATTTATTAAGAATCGAATAATATATATAAAATGTTTTTACAGGAATCTTGAAATTTGTAAAAAAATATATATTTATATTAAATAAATAAAGTGAAATTTTGATCCACTTATGTATGTTCTACATATTTTGGTAAAATTGCTGTTTTAAATAATTTTTTTTTTTTAACCTTTTAAGGCAGATACATAGAGGTTCAAATACAAATATATATAAAGAATGTATCTACTGATACTTAAAATATTATGTCAATTTAAGAAACCATGAAAATACTTAAAAATGTCACAAATCTTTTCGAATGCTGAGTAAATTGCAATCACCATCATTAACACACTATATAAATCAATAAATTGTGGAGCTAACATTTAAAGCACATAAGATAAAAAAATTAAATGGATAAAAATAAAAAAAATATATACAAAATAAGATGTAAATAAGAATAGTTCGACCATTTTTTCTTTCTTTCCTTTTTTTATTTATTTTTTTATCAAATTTACCATTCTTGCCTGCCTGTATTTTTAATAGCTCTCTACTAAGAAATGATTCTATAGATAATTGAATGTAGAAACGAAAAGGGGCGAGCGAGCGAGTACATATAAAATTAAACGTGGAATTACAGCTCCGACAGCCATGGTCAATCTTCCCTGGAGAAACAAAGAGAACCAAGTCCCACCTACTACAAAGTGAGACCTTCAACAACATTGACACAAAAGACATACTAACTGTTAACATTACATTTATATATTATTCAATATTATAAACAGTAAGTATATTTACAAGTTAAATAATTGAAAATCCCTTTTAAGGCATGAATTATTGTGAAAGAATATTATTAAGAATTAAAACAAAAAAAAATTGACATGGGATAGAATGTCTGCAATAAGTGAAATATGGGACATCAGAAACATAAAATTCTATACCTTAAGGTTGCTAATGCAGCCTTTTAAAGTTTTTAATTGACCCGCGACGTGCGAATTGCCTAGGACGGTTATCCAACTTCTCTTCTTTGCTAATTAGAAACTATAGTTAAATTTAAAAATTCTTTTATATTTTTCATACAGACACAAATCACCTACATACATATATATATATATACTTTATTCATCTGGTATTTGCACGACATAGCACCTGAGCAAATCAACTATAACGCCCAATAAACACAGTCCGTCACTTTTGCTGTCGCTTCGCTTTTGAGTTGATCCACATGTTGAGCGGCGCACATAACAAAAGGCACCTTAAGCATTTCTCCCAGTCTTAAATTTAACCAATCTACTAACAATTATTGTTTATATTATAATTAAAAATTACCTAAATATTACATTTATTTATATTATTTATAATATTTACACATAATAAACAATAACTTTTCAATATATATATATTTATTCATTCTGTATATCCACAGTACGGCCAAAATATATACATACATCATCTTAATTATCTGTAAAATAAATACTCCAGAAGAAGAAAAAAAATAACTTTTATATTTCAACTAATAATAACAAATACTTTTTTTAATTTATCCTTTGTTTAAAAAAAAAATATATATGTACAGGACAAATTGAAAACGTCCTTAATGTGACTACATTTTTTTTTTTTTTGTTTTAATTTGTACAAATTATAATTAAAATATATTAATCACAGCCGATTTGTGGTGGACAAGCACACCAAGATCAAAAAACAAGAGTAGCAAGTTGAAAATCACAACCTTACTTTAGCAAACTAATTGGTTAGTAGTAATTTGTATTTCGACTAAAATAAAAGAAATGAATTATTGCTACTGCCACATTCTATCGTTAAACAGTAAAGAACACTGAAAAAATGCTCTTTGTTTTTTTTTCTTTTTGTTTTTTAATTTTTTTTTATAAGGGAAAGCGAACATTAAGTAAATACCAATTATCCTAAATTTTAAAAATTGACTACTTTTGAGAAACTACTGAGTGAGGAGACATAATAATAACAACGACTTAAGGAGAATTATTAAAATCATAACATGATTTTATTCCGTTAATTTTTTTAAAAATAAAAAAACCTTTGACCATCTAATAATTGCACAACCCTCGCACCTACATAACCCGCACTCTGTAACCCTTAGTAATAAGAACCTCTCTAAGGCGACCCTTCCTTTGGTCCTACCCGTTACATTTTTGAGAATCATCGCTAACCAACTAAATGTTGACCCTCACGAACCACTCACATCTTTTAATGAATCTATCATTTATCAACCTTCTTGTATCCGAATAATAATTTCGTCATAAAGTGACACCACTCTGGCAGTTAAAACATTCCTTAGAAATAAGGAAATATTTTTTAAAATTATTATGTTGATTCCCCCCGAAAAAAGTACAGCTACAAATTTATGATACAATATAAAAAAAAGGCAGTTATCTTTCGAATAAAACAATTCATATAAAAGGTATAAAAAGACAAATCTATTATTACACAACACTGAGGCAGTATATATTACGACTGGCTAGCTGTGTATGATGTATGCATCGTAGGCATGTGTTCAGAATGACAGAACTTAAAAAAAAAAAAACTCTGAATCTTTTTTAAAATTAAAGTGGAAGCAATATTAAAAAAATATACTTTTTAAAATTTCAGAAATGCTTCAACATATTACTATATGATATGTACATCGTATTAAAATTTAGTACATCAATTATTTTTTAATTAAAGAACAATTCTTATTCTTGAAATAAACATTTTTTTCTTAAAATAGTTTCATTTCTATTCGAATCACCTAATTTCTACTAATAATAATTGCTTTAATAAGCTTCATTTAATTAGAGATATTTTAAAAATTATTTTAGATGGGAATTAAGCATTCTCTCACACATAAGAAATATTCATTTAGAGGAGTCATTTGTTTCTAAAGTTTTTTTTTTATATTAAAAATAAGAATATTTAAATAATAAAGTAATTATTAGGGAGTGATCAATATTAATGACAATTTTAGAAATGTATAAATTTATAAGTTAAAAAATTCACGTAAATAACTATTCATCATAAAACTTCATGCAGGGTCAGTATACCTTACATCTTACACGAGGATTTATATAAAATATAAGATATTGAAATGTTTTTCATTGAAATTAGTTTTTATAACCCGACATAAACATTGAAAATGCAAGTGTTAAAGCTGAACTAGCCTGCAGTTTAACCAAGCAATAATGTCATATAATTCAATAGAAATACGAACATTGTACAATGGAAAATTTACAGCATGTGTTGTGAGTGGCTAGGTACTTCTCTCTTAGGGGGTAGAGTCGAAACCTTCCTTCTTATCTAATCTCGTTTCAGATAACCTCCCTTATCGACCCAATCTCGTTTCTCAAGTTATTGTGTTCTTTAGTTTTTCTTGTTCTTTAGTTTAGTTGTTCTTTAGTATTCTTTAAGTTATTGTGTTGTTTAGTATTATATTGTGTTCTTTTGTTAATATTGTGTTGTTTTGTTTCAACTGGAATTATGGATGTAGTCACATTGTGGGAATTGCCGTCTTCGGAAGAAGAGGCTATCAAATATTTTCAAGACGCCGGTATATTTGATAAGGTGAAATATTGTGATTATTGTGATGGTCGTAAAATGAAGTTCGACGGGAAGATTAAATGGAGATGCTCTCGTAGGTGTAACAAAACCGTTTCTATAAGGAAAGGAACGTGGTTAGAGGGGTCCAGGATTTATTTTTTGACGGCTTTAAAATTCATTTATGGGTGGTCCCATAATTTAACTACAATTCAGTGGGGGAAAGAGCAGCTCAAACTATCCACCCAAACTGTCGTAGCATGGAACAAATTTTTAAGAGAAGTTTGTGCCCATGACATGTTATACAGGTCGAATAAAAAAATTGGAGGGCCTGGCAAAGTCGTGTTTTTTAATTATATATTTATGTTTTGGTATATATTTATGTTTTTACGATATATATGTTTTGGTATATATTTATGTTTTTCAATATATTTATGTTTTGGTATATTTTAATATATACCTTGTGAAATAAAAGTATTTTTAAATATACGTTGTGAAATAAAAGCATTTATTATTACATTTCTTTCTGTTTTTGTTCACAATTTCAATAATATCAATACACTACAATCAATATGAATACGAACACATAATAAAATGAATATAATACAATATATACGAATACGAAGAGCTTATCAGTGTTAAGCTTATAAACATTGGCGGATAGCAGTCGGACTCTACCCGCTAAGAGAGAAGTACCAGTGGCTAATATGATTCGGTGAATTTCAATTTACAATAATTCTATTAAACATTTATATTGCTTTGATATAATTTTCGTAGTTATTAGGCTTCAGTATTTTTCGATGAGATTTGAGTCCTATCTGAGGAGACTTACTACCAAAGTGTGTGTAACTTGATCTCTTATATAGTAACAATGTAGTTTCCATTACAAAACTTCATTTCGAAACAATCGGACTTTCAGGATTATAGAAATATTAACAATAACAAATTTTTATACCAGACACATGGCGGCATAAACTGCGATTTCCAAGTAGGTTTGATTCATTTCTGAAATCGGCACGAGAAATAAATTCTCAGAGCATATTCAAAGAATAGTGGTAAGCAAGGAATATAAAATTACAGTAGAAACCCGATTATCTTCTTCATTTACATTTTTTTTAAAAATGAAATTCTAACATAAACATTGCCAGTTTATTGCAAAAAGTCACTAAATACATTTTTGATGGAGTTAAAATTTTGAGACCGTTTTTGTAAATTTCGACATTATTTATTTATAAAAAAAAACACACTAAGTTCACTAAAATTACACGAAACCTCTCATTTATCAAATATAGCTACAACAAGTATTTCACAAAAGGAAACTTTGCTAAAGCTCTTAGAGATTTAATGTTATGAAATGTCACATAATGATTTTTTTTCAATAAACAGACAATAATATTAAGAAAACTTATTAATTTTAATTACATAACTTAATAATAAATAAAAGAATTTTAATGCTAAGGCTTTGTAATTGTCATTTAAATTTTCAAAGAAAGAAATTCGATCATTTCTTACATCCAATTCTATTGTTAGAAAATAATTATATAATAATATATATTTAGTAAAACAAGAAGTTCTTATTATTTTACAGTTTGTATTTAATTTTTATCACAAACATAAACAATATGTTTGTACATTACTCCATCAAATGTAATTGATATCAAGATTTTTTATTTATTGATCATACCAGCTCTTATCCAAAATTTCGCTTTTTTCGATATAGCCCAGGCCACATTATTCTGGATAAACGGGATTCTACTGTAACTTGAGTGAAATAGAAAAAGTCGTCTGTGAGGTGTAGCGATTCTCACGTGTTGACGTCCCATATTTCTGCAAGGAATGGGGGTAATTTCTTGTTTTGCAACTTGAGTGAGAAGCACATTTCAGAATTTTGGTTGCCTAGCGTGCGAAGTTCTGTCAAAACAGACAACAGTTTGGCGAATATGGTAGGGGATCTTGGTCGTGACCTGTTATCGACGTAGGACTTCAAAGCTTCCAAGTATATTTCTTGAATTTTCTCAACCTTCCAGCCTTCAATTAGTGCAGGCCTCTCTGTAAAAAACATAATTTTTTGTTTAAAATATAAATTAGACAAAAATAAATCATTTGTATTATAATTATTTATGTGCCTTAGGATTCTTATTTATTTCCAGATTATAATTGGAAAAATCCATCCATACAGCTTACGTCTTTAAAATGCAGGTAAACAACAAAATAACCCGTAAACTTTTCATCAACTTGAGCATGTGGGTATGAAAGAAAGGGAAGGTAACTTACACCCAACTTGTGTTTGGATGACATGAAGTTCTGTCCTGTGATTATTTGTCATGTCCTGCATTTTAGAGTCTGTGGTTGGATTTTTCATTTTAACCTAACATCTATTTTCTGTCTTGTTAAGTTTTTTTACACATTTATATTAGTATATTTCCAGGAATAATGATTTTATATTCTTGACCATTCTCAATCCGACCCTCTAGTTTACCATAATACCTATGTACATCATATTGCTTTATGTAATTCTTTTTTTTTTTTTTTTTAATTTTCTGTAGTTTTTAAAATTAAAAATATATATTTTTATTCTTTAAATAAGAGTCCAATTTAAAGCATGGCTAAGGATAGACTGCAAAAATATAAAAGCATAGCTAGAAAAGAAAGGTACTTGTGTGCGACGCAGCCTCTATGGACTGCTATCTGCAGTTATCTCGTTATTTAAAGTCTTGTTATTGTTATTTGTATTTCTTATTATTAGATTACTATATTATTATTATATTTATATTTATTATAAATATATATATATATATATATATATATAATATATATATATATATATATATTAATAAGAAACAGGAAATAAAAGAGGCAATACCAAATATATTTATATTTCTTATTATATGAGAGTCTAATTTCATATAAAGATAGGGATTATCAGTGCCTTATAACAATTATCAGTGTTAAGGTTATAAACATTTAATAATAAGAAATATAAATAACAACAACACTTTAAATAACAAGATAACTGCAGATAGCAGTCCATAGAGGCCACGTTGCTCACAAGTACCAAAAAAAATAATGTACAATAATATGGATACAATGTATAATATAAACATGGGACAATTAAAGAAGAAATTAGAAAAAAAAAATTTTATTCTCCTACAATAATTAAGTATCTTTTACTAATTTAATATTAGTTTTTTGTTTAGCTCTTTCTTTATAGTCCTGACGAAGACCAACAATGCAGGCCAAAATGTATGTAATCAATACATATAAGTCACACATGTCATGTGCGTGATTTCTTTGGTTGCATTCCTGACTAAATTATCCTTTATTAGATCTATGTTCAACAAGATATCTATGCCAAAATAAGCCAAATTTGATAACCACGCTATGGTAAATCAGATGATGGACTGAGAATTATCAGATTGTACATAACGGTGGTCTTCCTAAAAATAGCTAAGAAAATGTGTAATTTGAAGACTGTATTTATTCCTGGGAATCAAATATGAATGAAGTATTCCATAATGTTTCACAGTTACTTAACTCCTTACTAAAATTTTGTGAATATAATTAACTGCACTCACTTTTGTTTTTTATTTTTTTCAAATTCTTTAGTTATTTTAAGTGTATCCAAAAATACAAGTATTCATTTCATTTTCAAGAATACAAGGTGTGTTCAAAAAGTAACAGGAATAGTAATTTTTTTAAAAACAATTTTGTTTATTCATCTACAACAATATAATCACATTCAAAGTAGACACTCTTAGATATTATACACTTATGCCACTACTTCATCCATTCCCTGAAGCACTTGTGGAACTTTATCTTTGGGATAGCGTTCAATTCTCTCAGTGATGCACTTCTAATCTTATCTGTGATTGAAGAAGCCTTTTAAGGTTCTTTTTACTTCTGGAAAGAGGAAAAAGTCACACAGGATCTTATCAGACAAATATGGAGGCTGTGGCATCATTACAGTATTGTTTTTAGCCGAAAATTTATTAATAAGCAATGAAGTGTTTGTTCAGGTGCATTATCGTGGTCCAAAAGCACTTTGGCAAAAATCCAGGCGTTTACTTCAGATTGCTTCCTGCAAATGGCTAAGCACTTGTAGGTGGCACTCGTTATAAATAATTTGACCTTTTCTGTGCTTTATTAGCTGTTAAGGTTCAACGGCTTCAAGAACACTTGTTGTCATTAACATCTTCATAGCAATCTAGAAAATGCTTGTTTCACTCATAAACCCTTGTTTTACTAACCGTGGCCGCACTAAAAGCAATATCCAAGATTTCTAAAACTTTATTATATTTTAAGTACGATCTATTTCCCCAACAAATTAAAATTGACACTCTTAAGCAAACAGATGTTTATCTTCACGGCTGACAAGAAACTAATCGCCTAATATGATTATCATTTTACAGATGAGCTCAAGAAATGTTTAGCAATATAACTACCAAATTACTCGAATCAGACTAATACAACCAAGAAATATCAAATTTCCAGCAAGATTTTGAACCCACCTCGTATATTATTCCTTGAAATCAAATACCTAAGTATTGTATTTTTAATAACAAAGTAGTCTGTTTCATAGTTAATTGTAATTTTAGTAAGATTTTATAAAACATATTAATTTCACTTGATTTTTTCCAGTCTAACCAAAAATACAGGTATTTGTTTTATTTTTAAGAATATTTGAATTCATTACATAATAAATATTGAACAAAGAATAAATGAAATTACCTGAGAAAATGACAATAGCTGTAAGGAGAGCGTATTCAGCATTGTCCACTTTCATGTTGAACATATGTCGACAAAACCTAAGCAGGTCTTCAATGACATCGCCCATGCCTGCTAGGCTATAGGACTCCCTGTTATAGGGCTGATTGTTGGCGAAGAGGATAGAGTCTGTAGTAGCGTCGTACTTCCTGGCCATCCTCAACATCATCACCTCACTTGAACAGGCCTAAAACAAGAAAATATTATGTTTTAAACAAACTAACAAACATTAGTTCATCATCAAATCGTAGGTTATAATCAGAGTCTGGATTTGTTAAACTGTAGATGTAAATATCTTTACGAATTGGTATACAAAGCAGACAACAGAAACCAAAAAATGGTATCAATTGTTATACAGATGGCTCTCTATCAGTCTATGGCTGAGGAGCAGGCATCTATCGAAAAGATTTCAAAGAAAAAGACTCAATACCTTTTGGCAAATACGCTTCAGTATTTCAATCCGAGATACTAGCAATTTGCCATTGCGCTCAAAACCTACTGCGAAGCAATGTGACTGGGAAAAATATTACAATCTATACTGACAGTCAGGCAGCAATAGGTGCTCTAAATAATTATTACGTATACTCAAAGGTGGTTAAAGAATGCAGTATAGCACTTAACAATCTGACTGAGTTTAATAAAGATTTTTTTTTTGTTCTTCCCTACCTCGCCTTTTAGGCTATATGGGATTTTCCCAGGACGGAGGGTGAGGGCAGGGAATTTAAAATCCCCTCCGGCACCGGGACGCGAACTCGTACTTTTTAAATCATTTCAAATCTTGTTCTCCAGTTGCCAGGCAACTCGCGGTGCTATGCACACGCTTTAGCCCATTCGGCCACCCCGCCCCCAGTTTAATAAAGTTGCAATAGAGTGGGTGCCTGGTCACTCGGGCATCTAGGCAATGCAGAAGCAGAAAAACTAGCCAGGTTAGGCTCAGATACTATTCCCATAACTCATGAACCTGTCTGTGGAATCAGTTTTAGTACTGCTAAAGTAGGATTAGGGAGATATATGGTAACATATTTAAACAATACTGGACTGAGAAGAACAAAACATTTGAAGCTGTTTCTTAAAGGTCCATGTGACAAAAGAAGTAAACTGGTACTGAGTTTGGGAAGAGCAGTTCTTAAAAAGCTTACATGTTCTAGCTCAGAGCGACAACGAACCCGCTATGCAGATTCTGTCAGGAGCAGAATGAAACAGCCTTCCACATTGTCTGTCGATGTGATAAGGCTTACACTGGAGCTGTTTGGGGAAGAATGGATGGATTGCCCCAGTAGCTATGAGACTGTCAGTCCAAAGTCTATTAAGATATGACAAAAATAACATTTTAAGAATAAAACGAACTGCATCATGGCAGACAATAAATCCTTCAAGGATCGTCGGCGCTTTAAGCCAACAATAAAAAAAAAAATACAAAAATACAATTAGCCAATATTTTATTTTAATGATAAATGTATATAATTGCATGAATTTAACTAGATTTGAAGAAAAAAATAACTAAAATGCAACAATGAAGATAAAATTCCAGATGAGTAGGTTCAGTTTCAATTAAGAAAAACAAATCAATTAAATAACTTTATGTTTATAGAAAAAAATTCATGATTGAAAAAAAAATCTCACCTTGAGAAGAGCAATCTGATCTTCCCTTAAGAGCTTGTCGAAACCAGGTAACCGTTTAGCGAACTCGACTATTAGTTGTACTGTGAGGATCGTGATTTCTGTGAGGTGCCTGAACCTTTGGTCACTCTGCTCTTCATCCTCGTTTGGAGTATTCTGTAAAAATGAAAATAAAATATAAATTAATTCCGGCTGGAATAGCTTTAAAAGAAAAAGAAGAAAAAAACTGAATAAAAGTTGCATGGGATTTCACTTTAATCTACTCAAATTAACCTTGCACTGGGAACGTAACTGATAGGAGTGGCTTGCCCTCCTTTATTTTCCTATAATACTCTTCCTCAAAATAGATTTACTTCAGCGATTCAGTGACTTTGCAGAGGGATGTCTAAATATCAATTTGCTAACTTTTTGAATCGGTCACTTCAGTTGAGAGTAATATTTGCCAATACAAATTGAACTGATTTTCACTTAACATCTAACAAATTAAAATTTTTATGGTAAGCTAATAATTGCTTTTATGTAAAAATAATATTACAAACTATTTTATGATGAGTGATTTGAATAGTATAGTCAATCAATAATTAAATTACTTGACTGAAATCCGTCGCAATGAAAATGACCTTGGAGAATTAATTAATTTTTTTTTTAGCATGGAAGATAAAGTTTTAGATAAAATTTTATATTAATATAAAAGATAAAATTCAGAAAAGGATTATAAAAACTGAACTTAAATAAGGCAAGCTAATGTCCTCCTTGGTGTTCCAAAAAAGTAACCAGGCTTTTTTGTAACGGCTCTAGAATAAGGTTTTAGCAACGATTCAGGACAGAACTATGAGGATATTGTGCGAAAATTGTCCAAAGCAGATGTGTAATGAACATTTTAGACAACATATTGGATAACTGTTGTATTTCGTCTGTTTAATTTTAATGTTTTGTTTTAATTAATAATTTTTTTTTTTGTTTTAGTCCTTCAGTGATATTTAAAAAAAAGTGTAGAAAAGAATTAAAACTAAAAATTAGAGTGTATGACGTATCTCTACCACGCAACCATTCATTTACCAGCCAATGACCTATCGGAGGGTCGATTATTAAGAGTTAGAAAACCAGAATTTCAAATGAAAATTAAATATAAAAATAAAATTTACCCTGAAGAAAAATAATGTTTAATTAATTCACTCAAAACTAAAAGAAAGAAAACAGATTGATCTTCAACGTCACATGTTAATGTTAGATATATAAAATATTAAATCCAGTCATTAATAAGTTTTTTGTCTTTTGAATAAAACAAAAAGTTATGACGAATAATTTATGGTATATTTTTGAGGAAGAAGATGGTCTGGGGTAGTGGTAATAAAAAGACTAAAATAGTGAGAAAAAAAAATGTTATTTCAAGCTAACGTTTCGACCGAACTTTGTAGGTCTTCTTCAGGGCTAGAACGAACAAGAAAAAAAAGGATATAGAAAAATTATAAATGGTGTGAATAGAAAGTACATAGAAATATTAAGAACAATAAACTATATAAACAGAAACTATATAACTAAGTAACCAGAGTCTAAATTGAAGTAAATAAAAGGTAACAATTATTGAAGGTAGGAGAAAATTGAATGTAATAATTACATTCAATTTTCTCTATCTACAATAATTGTTACTATTTATTTACTTCAGTTTAGAGTCTGATTACTTAGTTATACATCGTTTACCCTGTTCATAATTTTAACAAGTTTATTCATACTGTTCATAATTTTTATCTAAATATTATGTAACTTCTAAATTTTCCTTATGCTTTTGTATCTTGTTAATTCTAGCTAACCCTAAAATAGACCTGCAAAGTTGGGTCAAAACGTACACTTGGAATAAAATATTTTTTTCACTATTTTAGTCTTTTTATGACTGTCACCCTAATCCTTTCTCAAAAAGTTATGACAAAAAACCATGCAACTTTTAGTAATCTATATTGAGTCCATTTTAGCTCAATATTAGGAACAGGTGTTGGGTTGAATTTAAGAGGCTATGAAAAGGAAAAATTCTGTCTTTTGAAAAATATTGAGAAACTAATAAAGGCAGACATGCTTTCAAGGAGATTAACTTTGGGTATTTGGTCAATAGCTAATGCAAGTTAATCTGAGCTTAAATGGTTACTACATTCTCTGGAGTATTGTGTAATCCATGCATTTTAAAAATAAATTTGATGTTAGTAGAAAATTTACTCAACAAATGTTATATAAATGATTATATTAAAATAGAGAGGAAAGATTAATAATAAGAAAAAAAATAATAAAAACCTGTCCTTACACTTACAATCCTTCTGAGGTCTTCCTCAGAAGGGTGCTCGTACTCGTTCTGGAAGTACACAAGCCTATGGATGAGTTCTTCCTGTTCGGGTGAAACTGGTTTGACGCCATTAATTGGGACTGGTCGGCCCAAAGTTTCACCTTCTGTTTTATATACAACCTACAAAACAATATAAAATTATTAATAAAATTATGCTAAAGGTTAAAAAAAATCAATTTAATTAAGAATCAAACTCAGAGTTTTTAATTATTAGGCATCAGTACATACCAATAACTCTATACAAGACAGAAATTTAATATTATATTCTTATCAGGTTATCAGGTCAGAAAAATAATTTTTTTTTTTAAACTGCATGGATATTATTTGTGAATACTGCACAAGAAAAGAGATGCATAATAAAATACAGTGGGCAAAATAAGTATTCGTACACCCCGTTTTTTGGCCAAAATGGTTCACTATAATTTTTTTAACTTTAAATAACGGCAGAAATAAAAACTTCATTTTAATTTTATGTAATGCCAAAATCTAAAATCTCATACAACTTTTATAACATTAATATTTCAATAATTTGTACACAAAGAAAGTATTTGTACACTAGAGCAAATATTTATGATATGATAATTTATGTTATTAATATAGTGTTTTAACGTTCTATTTATAACCCGTTACTCTAGAGGATTAAAGGATCAAATTGTATTAGAAATTGCTTGTTTAGTTCAGTATTAAAAAATATTTCTTTAGCAATAGGTTGTAGTTCTGAAGAATTAAGTACTCATCTTAAAGTTCGGACTACTTCATACAACAGTGAAATACATAATAAAAAAATTTTAATTCCGATCAGTGAACAATAAAGCCCTTCCAGAGGTAAAACACTTGTTGACAGCGCCAGAGTCTTGTGAAATTGTACTTAAAGTTGCAAAAATCCGAAATTGAGTGCTCGGTTTTGAGAGGAGGCTCACATCGCATCAGCTTATGGGAAAATGTGTTATTTTTGGATGAAAGCAAATATAATATATTAGGATCTGACAGAAAAAAACATGTTTGGAGGAAAAAAGGAAAGGCATTTGAACCCCAAAATCTACAACCCACAGTAAAGCATGGAAAAGGCAGTGTCATGGTTTGGAGCTACACGGCTGACAAAGGAGTTTGTGAACTAGCCTTTATTGATGGGATTCTGAATGCTGACAAATATGGGAACATGTTTCGATGCAGCTGAAATAAAAGTGTGTTAAAGTTAGGAATAGAGAATACATGTACGTTTCAACAGGACAACGATCACAAGCACACAACCATAAAATCACAAACAATGGTTGCTGTGTAATGTTCGAAAAATTCTCAAAACACTCTCAGAATCACCGGATCTTAATCCAATTAAAAATGTATGAGCACTGCTGGAATTACAAATCCAAAAATATTGTTGTTCCTCTCGGAATGACTTAATAAACAATCTTAAAAAGCTTAGGAAAAAATAGGACCAGAGACCAAGAGGCTAGCGGAACAGCTATCAAGGAAGTTCAATACTGTGATAAACATGAAAGGGTACCCTACAAAATATTAAAATTAATTGAGATTGATATTTATTATATTTTTTTTTTGGGTAATTTAAATGTATGAATATTTTTTTTACTCTTCATATTTGAAAATTTTGATATTTTTCATACAATACGAGTTATAAAATTTTACTTTTTGATACAATTAATACAAAATGAAGTTTATAATTGTTATCTATAGTTACTAGATTGATATTTATTATATTTTTTTGGGGGTAAGTTAAATGTACGAATACTTTTTTTTGCCACTGTATATATAATATAGGTTAAAATACATATTTGATGGAGTTGAAGTTTTATGAATTTTGACTATATCTATCCAAAAAAACAAGACTGTCAATGCATTAAAATGGCACAAACCCTTTTTATACATCAAATATAGTAACAAGCACAGAATTTTCTGATTTTGCATAAAGAAAATTCATTAAAGTTGTTAGTGATTTAAGATTATAAAATGTCACTTCATGACATTTTACAAGAAACCAACAATGTGTGTGTATGCATATTTAGTTATTTAATTTTTTTATCAATTTCATTTGATAGTCTCTCTTTCTCTCCCCTCCCCCCTTTTATTGACTCATTAGAATACAGTTATTATAAAAATATAATAAATAAAATTTGTTTACCCTATGTGGTTCTTCGACTTTTATTGATTCAGGGCTACCATTAGTCGTCGAGACTGGTTTATCTTTGTCCTTCTGGGCTTTCTTTTCTTTTCTTTTCACAGCGCATTGGTACTCTGGTACAACACCTGCAAATACAAATATGAAAAATTGAGGAAAGAAAACAAAAAAAATTAAGGCCATAGTTTGTTTAAAGTATGCAACAAATAAAATATAAGGTATATATATATATAAAAACTTCATTTCAAATTCACAATCTACCATCACTGATAGTCCATATGAATGAGTCAAGTAAAAAGGCATTAAAAAAATATAGGTTTGCACTTTTAAATTTGTGTATTAATTTAATAATCATTTCAAATTGTTACAGATTTTAGTTGACTCATGACATTTAATGGATTAAATTAATGGTAAATTTAGAATAACACGCTGGACAAATTAGTAATATGCAGATAGAACATTAATTTTCATTATTTTTTAAAACTATTGATTTGGGGACTCCTACATTTTCATTTCAAATCAATTAGCTGAGACGTCTTTCTGTAGATAGAGATATATGTTAGTATCTCCTTTCCAATGATACGATTTTTGAAATTAATACTATCTCCATTTTTATTTATATATTTTTTAAAATTCTATTATCTTGTGAACAATAGACACAATTTATTTTCATATTCATTACTTTTCTCTGATTTTTTGAATAAAATTTAACCAGTAATCTTGTGAATTTTTTGTAAAATTAAATGAGTAGTATCAAAAATATTAGTATAAAAATCTTTTTATGATAACAAGCTTAGAATATTATTTAGGATTTAGTTAGAAAAAATTGTGAATTTTGTTGAGAAAAAAAAAATTAAGAATTTGAGAAGCTAATATTTACTAAAGAAACGATTGTAAGTAGTTTACTTTGGTATTAATTTAGGTGTTCCCAGTATTCATGAATTAATTGCTTTAATTCTTTGAAAATATTTAGGAATTTCGAATTACATCGTTCCTAGAAGAGCTGAATGCTCTAAGAAGTGAACTAACAATAGGCACCGATATTATTGAACAAGTTATTTTATTTTAAAAACAATATTTAAAACATACATATTCATGAGATAGATAATAATAATAATAAAAGGCTTAGCGTAACCGAAGGTTCGATGCCGACACCACCAATCGTTTATTACACATTTCCCTCCACCGTTCGCCGTCCAAACCCAGTCCCTTCAGATCGCCTTCAACGCCATCTTCCCACCTTTGCTTCGGTCTACCCCTCGGACTTTTACAAATTCGGTACAGCAAATATTAACCTTTTAGGAATTCTTTCGTTACCAAGCCCAAAAATTTTACAAGCTCATTTGATTCGCCGCGATGTAATCTCCTCAATTATATCAACTGGGTACAGTTCACGCAACTCGGCGTTGTGCAACCTTCTGAACTCTTCGGTTAACTCATCTTTCTTCGGTCCGAATATTCTACGCAATACTTTATTTTCAAAAACCTTAAGACTTCGCTCATCTCTTAATGTAAGCGACCACGTTTCGCATCCATAAAGAACTGTAGGTAGGATAATGTTTTTATAGATTGTAGTCTTTAAATTCCGGGACAAGATGCGCGAGCCTAGTAGTTTTGTCACAGAAAAATAACAAGCATTTCACGCATTCAGCCTAACCTTAATCTCGTCTTCAATTTCGTTTTTTTCTATTTATCATAGACCCTAGATACTTAAACTTCTCTACCTGTTCAAACATATTACCTTCTATATCGATATCATCAATTATATCGCCATTTCTGGAGCTAACCATACATTTTGTCTTATCCGTGTTTATTTCACGAGATAGATACAAATAAAATATTAAAATAAAGAAAAATATGTAATTTTAATTGGTGATAATATAAAATACTTCAATAATTAAAATAATAATAATTTAATTATTAAATGTTAAATCGCTAAAGTCAGATAATTCAAGTCGTTCATCACGATCGTTTGCCTCAAATGGATTGTTAATCCAAGAAACTAGTCCAGTATTTTTTTTCCTCTTGCATAGTAACTGTATGCAGGAGGAGTTTATTTGTAAAAGTTTACACCATGCGAATATTATATGTATGAATATTATGTTTACATTTTATCTATGCTATACTTTTTTTTTCTATAAAAATTAAAGAAAATAACACAAAATAAGAAAAATAAAAATTGAACTAAAGGTAAGATTTTTTTTTATCTACTTGATAGATACTTACATTCCGGCCTCATGCCAACAGACAGACATTTCTTGAGCCTGCACTCTTGACACTTTCGCCTCATGTACATGTCTATCTCACAGTTGTTGCCATACTTGCATTGATAGACGGCGTTCTTCGTTATACTCCTTCTGAAGAAACCCTTACAACCTTCGCACGTGAGCGCGTTATAATGGTAACTGAAAATAAAAAAAAGGAAAATTAGACATATACTGCATTATTATAAATTTTATATGTATTTTATAGAGATAACAGAACTCTGAGTTATATCTTATTTACGAAACTTTTTTTTTATATTTCTAATAGATTAAAATTTAAAAAACATATTAGGACATGAAGTGAGGTAGCTTCTTAGAAAACACTGTTCATCGACTGCCCACTCAGAACTTCTGTAACTGGGAGTGTTGGTGGGTTGGGAATTCATCTTAACGAACTACTGGATCATTAACATAAATTATAATAATAGCGAAGTCACATCTAGAATTGCAATAGTGTCACAAGCAAAATATCTTAAGTCAGATAAAAAACGCTTAAGTAAAAACAAAAATGCCAATTATTTCACAATGGTTTATTATTTCCAAACAAATAAAGTAACATTACCTTCCGAGTTACAAAGAAAAATAAACAAAAGGTGATTCCAATTATTGGACTAAACTGTTTTTCTTTGATCATTAGTAATATGCTAAAAAAGAATAGCATTACATTCAAAATTTAAAAACCAAACCAAGGGTATAACATTTGGAGTAGAACATATTAAAAAAAAACTGAGACCATATCTTTGCTCCTAATTGTCCGATTTTAACGATTTTTTTTTTTTAGGAAATTTCGTAAACTTTTAAAAAACTATATACAATATCAACAAAAAAGTAAAAACTTTTCGAGTTATTCGGAATTTAATTTTACCATCCCTCGTAACTTTTTTTCCAGCTTCTTTTCGTTGAAGTATGTTATACAGATAAATTTAAAGGGCGTCGAGAAAATGACTTTAGCGAAGTTTCATTGAAATCTGTTCGTTCGTTTAGGAGCTACAGTCTATAGCAACGCAGGTTTTTCGGCAGCCATTTTAAAGTTAAAGGCGGAGCGTAATGTCGAATATCAAAATTTGAAAAAAATCGGTCCAGTAGTTTCGGAGAAAATGCGCGGACGGCGGACGGACAAAAAAATTTTTATTAGTTTTTCGAATTCTACGCGCCCTGAAACGTGAAACCTCAAATTTTGAGAGGGAGTTAAGTTTTTGAATTTTTCGGTCGATCACAATGGTTGATAATTGAAAATAATAAACCAAAATATTTTAAAGAAATTAGTAGAATTTAAAATAATCAGTGAAAAAAAAAAAGCTTTCGGTAGCGTAACTAAGATCGAATATACCCCAAAGCTAATACCCAAAAGCCTAACCTAACAAATTCAAAATCAGTTCAGATTCGTGCACTAGCGGATCCAGGTTTTAACTTGGGGAGGGGGGAAGCCCGAAAGCTTTTTTTCCATAAAAATAACTATAATTACTTTGGAAAAAAAGAAACTAACTACCTATATGAAATGGTGTTTATGTGATTCCTAAAGCCCTTTTAAATGTAATTACACCAACAATAATACTTTAAGAAATAATTTTTTTTTTTTAATAAAACATGATTATATTTTACCATTTTGGGAGGATTTCTGCCCGAAAGCCAGCCCCCCCCCTCCTCCGTGGATTCGTGATACTTCACAAATTCATAAAAACACTTATCATTAAACATTTATTACAGACATCAATAGCAAAAGTCGGCAAAAAAAAATGTAATTGATCATTATAATCAATTAGTATTCAATTCTTTTTACAAAAGAAGAGTAAAGTATTTTTTTAAGTTAGCCAACATTTTTCACTCTTCAGGTCTTAGGATGGTAAGTATATTCGTTGCTTTAACTGAACTTGAACGTTTATTAAAAAAGGAATAATTGTTTTTAACTCAATGAAAAAGACTCCTTCAGCAAATTTGATTCCAGAGATACTTTTATAAAACAATAACGTTATTTTAAATTGAAACATTCCCGATATCTCCTTTACTTACTCGATGCTCAATCGATACTTCTAATATTTAATATATAAGCTAATATTTAAGAGTAGAAGAAGTACCTCTATAATAAAATTGGCTGCAAGGAGTGATCCTTTCTTCATTAAATTTAATAAAATTATTCCTTTTTGATGTAACGGCTATGCTTACTACCGTTAAGTAGTAAGTACGGTAGTAAGTACCGTTAAGTACTGCTTTAAGGCCGACGGTTTTGCAAGGAAGTGTGATTGGGCCGACATCATGCTCAACCATCAGGGTTTCTCCCTAAGTAATTAATTAAGAGTATCCACTTTATAGAGGGGCTGGGCAGACCCCAGGAGGGTCTCTCGACCCCAAGGTCGATTTATGGCTGACGAAAAAATTACTAGTCATCACCCGGGATCGAACTTGGCAACTTCAGCTCTGGAACTCAATGCTTACCCACTGAGCTACACCGTGTTTAAATAATAAAATTAAATAAACTAAAGTGTGTTCGATAAGTGATGATGTTTTAAATGTCTTCAACTACTAGACTCAGAAAACACCACGACACATTAGCGGATCCAGGATTTAATTTTTTTGGGGAGGAGGGGCTTCATCCGAAAGCTTTTTTTTTCATATATATAACGATAGTTAATATTGTAAAAAAGGAAAGAAATTAACTACCTATATCAAACAGTGTTTAGGTGGTTCTTGAAGTTCTATTAAATGTAATTACACGAACAATAATACTTTAAGAGATAGTTTTTAATATATTTTTTTCTATAAAGCATGGTTATATTTTACTATTTTGGGGGGGGGCTTCAGCCCGAAAGCCCCCCCCCCTCCCCTCCAACCCCGTAGATCCGCTGTGCCACGACACAGACCTCAATGAATGAAACGAAAGAGAAATGGTAGATAGGAAGATGAAAAAACTAAAGTGTTGATAACTGATACTATAAATTACGATTACGAACATAATATCACTAATAAATAAATCGTTATCATTATTATACGTTTTTATTTATCCTCAACTACAATTATTCTTTAAAATAACATTGGGCTTATTTATCTCTTTGAGATTTTTCAGTAGCTTAATTTTTTTATTTATTCTTCCATTTGGCGTTATCCAAGCTTTGATTCACACTGAACAAAACTTTTCCTCAGAGGTAAATATATAGGTATATAATTGAGTCTGGGCAGAAATTAAAATATATGAGAAATAGAGAACCCAACATTTAATTACAAGACATGATTACTATCGAAAAGTAACGATGAATCCATTATACTAAATATGTATTATCATAGTAAGGGAAGATATCAGAAAAGATAATAAGGTGGAAAAGAAAAAGGAACAAAAAATGGCTGAATTGAGAGTGTAACTAAAGACCCTCTCAAAAAAACGAACCAAGGTTGCGTATAATAATGTAAGGACAAAATACACTTCTTCAAGAATCTCTTAAAAAAAATTCTCAGGCTTCCCAGAATCGCAAACCCTGCCTCCATAATACAGATGAATTTGTTTTTCATTTTTAAAATATTAATTAACCAGTTGGCCCGTGCGAATAATTCGCAGAAAATTTTGTTCAGTAAAGAAATAGCAAAACAATATGGAAATAAGTAGTTCCTATTTATTATGTAAGGAAAGAATCAATAGTTTTTCCTTGGTCGATTACAATATTCCATTAAACATAATATACAAAAATATTTGTACAAATTATTATGCTAAATCTTATTTTAAAATGCTGACTGGAAAGATAATAAAAATAAAATGTAAGAACAACCAAATTTCTTTAAGAAATAATAAAGTTAATATATCAGCCAGGAAGAAAACGTGTAGTAGACTATTCTACTCCTAAATGCAATATCTTTAAACAGTAAGACAATATTAAGTATATCAAATCCAATGGGCTGTATCTTTGTTAATAATTGTCAGATTTTTACGATTTTTTTTCGTTTTGTAGGTGATTTAGTAATCTTCCTAAGTATTATGGGTAGAATCCAAAAAAAAAAAAAAAAATGCATACTTTGTGAATTATTCGCAAATAAAGTTTCTTTTCCTTCATAATTTTTTTTCCAGAACTTTCAAAGGGATAGGACTATTTTTCGCATGTGAAGGAGAAGAATATCTTCAAAATAAGTGGTCAATCATTGGATTTGATGAAGAATTTACGAAGTTATGGCGTACTGACAAAAAAACACCTTGTAGAAATAATATATAGGATTCCTTAGAAGTTATACGTCCTCAATCCTAGAGCAATTGTCCCGATTCATTATTAATGCCCCACCTGATTATAGGTATCGATATAGAACATCTGTAATAAATACATCGATGTTTCAACTATATCCTTGGTTGAAGGTTATTTATAACGAATGACCTTGAGGATACAGGTTCGCGGACAAAGAGATCTCCGGCAGATATTCACTCTTGCCAAATAATAGCACTCACACAGGCCTTCCATGTCTTTTAGGGTATTGTGATTTGATTGACGTGAACAACATATCATTTTTAAGGATTTCGTTAAGTTAGCAAAGAGATCAGAGTTTCGAAATGGAGTCTAGATACACAAGTAAAATATACATATGATTCAATAAAATACGGATAATATACAATATAATAGAGAACAAAAAAATAAGAAAAAGAAATAAAGGAGGAAACGTATAAATCGACATATTTTACACCGTAATACTTTGATGTGTCACATATTTATTTATACTTTATTTATTTTTTAATTAATTTAATATAAATAATAAAAAGTCTCATATGTATACTTGCGTTTCCTATTTTTCAATTGTTTTTTTTTTCATAAAATTCCTGAATTTTTCAACTTTAATCAACATGCTATATAGTATACAACACAGGCGGATCTACGGTGGGGGCTTTCGGGCTGAAACCCCCCCAAAATGGTAAAAATATAACCATGTTTTATAGAAAAAAAAATTTAAAACTGTTGAAGTATTATTGTTCGTGTAATTATATTTAATATGACTTCAAGAATCACTTAAACACCATTTCATATTAGTAGTTAATTTCTTTTTTTTTTTTAAATTAACTTTCGTTATATATATGAAAAAAGCTTTGGGGCTGAAGTCCCCCCTCCTCCCAAAAATTAAATACTGGATCCGTTAGTGGTATACAATGGTATATATTAACTATAGTATATAGTATATACTATAATACTATACAGACAACATATAGTATATATTGACTGCCTTCCAGAGATTTACTATCCCTTCTTTTCCAGCACAAACTATGTTAGATATAAACTATATTGGACAGTTGAAGTGAGATGTGTTGTTTTCGGTTTGCATTTATGGGATTTTATTTTGTTTTAAAGAAGTATAAATTGGCGAAACATTATATGATTAGTTATTCACTGGAATTTGAAAGATTTAATCTTGAAATAGTATTATGACAAAAAAAAAAAATATATATATTTCACACCAACCAAACCAGAAACGCTGAAGTATTATTTTCTCAAGTTTTTTCTTTCATTTAAATTTGAAAAAAATAAAAGGCAATTTTTATGCGTTTTTTTTTTAGACTATTTGCAAAAATAAATCATTTTGTGTTTTAAGATCTACATGAAAAAAATAAATAAATTGATTCAGTTTTTGATTAAGACACAGGGTTCGGTCATGGGACAAGCGATAATTCCTGTGTAATTATTTTTTTAAAGATGGTTCCAAGACTTGAATTGAAAAGAACTGATACTCATGTTGACTTCAGTCCCGGTAGTACAACACGATAAGATGTCTGGGTCTGATTATTTCTTAGGCCCATTGATAAACATTTAAACAATTGATAAGTAGCTTTAAAAGTCATAAAATGATTGATATATTACTTGCATTATTTAAATTCTCAATTAAAATTTTAAGATTCTAAATATTCAACTGACCCTTTTGGATTTTGAAACTAGAATTTACTGGACAAGGAGTTTTTCATACTATTATTAAAATAAGTAATTTGCAAAATTTTCCTTATCAAATATACGAAATTTATAGGTGTCTCCTAATTTTGAAAATTGAAATTTCTGGCTGACACATTTTATTAATCATGCAATAATAAACCAAAATGAAAAAAATAATTTTAATTAAGAGATAGAACGAAGCTTAAACAAAAAACGCTGAAAACTTTATATTTCCTCTTTATCTTCACAAATGGTCAAGATATAGTCGTATGAAACTTTCAATTAGTTGTTATTTTGAAACATAATGGCGGTGCCAATTTTCGAGTTCTAAGCTTCTTCTTTGAGTGTCCATGAAAGTAATAAAGAATTAAACCGAAATATGAAAAGTAATAAAATAATTTTGCCTTATAACATGTATGTTGTTTTATTACGGCGAAACTCTCAAACAAGAAGTCACTTTCAATAGTTTAACTACCAAAATTCGCTTTTCCACAATTAAAAATATGAAGGAGTAAACAAAATCCATGAAATTTTCTCGAACTTACCGACTTTTAGATAATGTAATTCAGTTAGTAAACACTATTTCACTTTATAACTAAATATATACAAATAAAATTCTGACCATAGTTCATATTAACATTACAGTTAGAAATTGGGGACTTAATTTGAAACTACCAATATTTGTCCCTAGTTAATATAAGATCCAATTAATATTTTTTCAATTCTTTAAATCTTCATCCACTCCTGTCATGAAAGTGACAATCAGCAGATTAAATGTTGTAAATAATTGTAATAAAACAGCAGATTCAGCATAATTTCTGGTCTTTGTTCACTTCCATAAATCAGGAAACGAGATCTCTCATTCAGCTCTTTTTCAGTCCATACTCCCTGATGGATATATCGTTTATAACTATGCTTTTGTGTTCGTGTAGTTTAATATGAAATTATGTGGTTGTCTATGTTGGTACACAAAGTACCGTTGTATGCTAACTCGTGAATCAGTGAGGCAATGAAAAGAAATTTGCTATCAGTCGAGGATCGACTGTGGTATCGGGAGATCCTCCTGGGTTACACATAGCCTTTAGAAAGAGGGTACTATTAATTAAATAATTAATTTCTTTTTCTTTTTTCCACTAATAGTGGGTTTCCTTAACCTAAACCTTGGATGGCTTCTTGCCATCCTATCTAAGGTCCATTCTTCCCGTTGAACATGAACCATCATGGATTCTTCCACTTCGTTATCCCAGGTCTTTCTCATATTCTTCTTTCCCTAGTTTTTCATAAGTGGACTTCTTTGGGTAGTCTTCCTTCTGGCCTTCTTTTCAAATGTCCATACCAGTTCAGGCGTTTAATCTCAATCTCTTCCAGAATGGTTCTTTTAGCCTCCATCTTTCCTCTGATTGTCTTATTTCTGACTTTATCCAATCTGGATATTCCCGCCGCTCGTCTCTAGAAGTCCATTTCGGTCGCTAGAAGTTTCTTCCTGAGGTTACTTCTTTTTATGGTCCATGTATAATGTCATAATGCTCATGACTATACTATTGTAGAAGTTTTTTTTTGTTTTGGGGATAATGTTCCGGTTCCATAATACCGAGTAGAGCATTGAATAATTAATGAAGGGGAAAAACCTGGCGATTGAGCGCGATCTCGACTCGATCACCTCCTTGGCCTCGAAACAGAACTTTCTAACAAAACACTGAATCCTGGACCCTTCATGGGTTGTAGTGGTACAGTTTTTTTCATTCTCTTGTTTAGTTAAAAGTCTTTCTTTTCACTTGGACGTATGAGCCATTTAATTAATTAATCACAATGCAACATTGTGAAAAGTATTAAACTTGAAAACTCGCCTGATTAAATAAAAAATAATTATTTAAAAAAAAGAAGTGTTAAATTAATACAGGTGCGAATCCCCTCTCGAAAGGAAACAAATAAAAAAATAGATATATAAAAAAAAGATAATTCCTGCTAGAACTGGAAATTTCTAGCGAAACATCACCTGAAAGGGTATCTGTAAATTTATAATAGGAATAAATTACTAAAACTGGATAATTATCAGGAGAGAAAAAAAGGGTAAAAATTCTAACAAAAAAACCAAATTGAATAACCTGTTATATGAATAATTTTTCCAAAAGAAAAAAAGATTTTCCACGAAGAGAAATGTATCTGGATTAGACGCAGGTGGTTGAGAGTAAAAACTGAGTAAATTGGCGAGGATCGCTAGCACCTGTTGAATCACCTGCTCCGGTGTCATCTTCAAAACCACAATAATCCCTCCCCCCCCTTGATCCAGGGGACGATTTCATTAGTTCAAATTATTTTAGTCCTCGAAAGGTACTGGTACCGGTATTGAAATATCAAAGAATTATAGGCACAACGAATAATGGTACAGACCGCCTCAAAGGTTCCTGAGGTTAAAGATTTATTAGTAAGAAGAGTAAAAAAAAACAAAAACCTAAGGTGTATGTTTAGACTACACCATAGAAGCGAAAACATAAACAAGGCGAGATTAATAATATGAAATATAAATAATAAATAATAGCTCATTATAAAGAGGATGAAATGCTTAAGACTTCGCTCGCTTACAGTATGCAGGTCCGATTTTTAGTTTCTGAGATATTTTAATCCATATCTTCAATAAAACTCGTTATTTGATTTTCGACACAATTTTTATCTTTCCAAACATGGCCGTAGCGTTAAGCACTAGCGGATCCACGATTTAATTTTTTTTGGGGAAGGCTTCAGCTCGAAAGCTTTTTCTTTTCATATATATATATATATATAGACGACGACGATAATTAATTTAAAAAAAAAGAAAGAAATTAATTACCTATATGAAATGGTGTTTAAGTGGTTCTTGAAGTCCTATTAAATGAAATTACAAGAACAAGAATACTTTAAGAGATAGTTTTTAATATTTTTTCAGTAAAATATGGTTAAATGTTACCATTTTGGGGGCCTTTAGCCCGAAAGCCACCCTTCCCCCGTAGATCTGCCTGTGGCATAAGATACAATTCTGAATATTAGCCCATTTCAAAGAGGATGAAATGATGAACATTTTCCTCGCTTACAATATGCAAGTCTGATTTTTGGTTTTTGAGATATCCATATGCAAAAACACCTGAATTAGTCGATTCCAGCCGATTTTATGAGAGCGTTACAAATCGGAAATCTGACGGCTCAATCTAATTCACTCTCCACAAAAAAGTGCAAAAGGCGCCTAAAGAAGTATTCACTTAAAAAAATAGATAAGGTAATCTTAGGGTAAGTGTATAGTATTACTATAGCAGCTGTCAGCGCATCTCATATAAAATAAAACAAATGATTGCCAATTAGCAATCGAATTCCAAGCTAAATAATGCTAAGAGCTACTAAAAAAACAAAACAAAAAAAAAACTGAAAGGAAAATTACTAAATATCAGGTAGGCCATAACTTAACAGAACCAAATGCGAGTACGAAAAAAATTGCTAATCAACATAGCAGCAAATAAAACATGATACTAATTAAGAAGTCAAAGTATTGCTAAAACGTTTAGCTTAGATTTTCAGTAATATGCTATAAATGATCCTTTTTTTTACCCTCACTCTCTGAGTTCAAAATTGCTTTTATTTCGGGCAATTTCCTGCAAAACCTGTTGTAAAATTCTAGGACTTTCATTAAGTTCAATGTTTTTTCAGGTATTAGTCGGTTGATGGGATTGTAAATGTTGTTTTCTGCAAGTTATCATGGGCAGAAACTCTTTTTGTCAATAGCAATATGTTTGGTCTGTTACGTAGTATAGGATATGGTGGTCATTATACGATAAAATTCAATCTCGCCACTGATAGATATTTAGATTGGGCCAGTGAACAACATATCATTGATCATTATAGATAAGACAAAGAGCATTGAGTATTTTAAGAATTAGATACGAGAAGTATTCCAGGGTTTGAAATCTCCAAAGCTTAAACTCTTAAGCCCAAAATGCCTTATTATAGTCATCTATATGAGACTTTAGTAATTAATTGGAAGCTCATAGCATTTGTCAAGTAAGTGCTGAAGTAGACGGAAACGTCGAGCGGTTTCTTGTTATTTCAGTCTGGTATGAGGATTCCAAGTTAGACGTTTGTCCAAGTGGAGTTCTAGAAATTGGATCTTAGTTATTAAAGTTATTAGTTAGTTATTATAGGACAGGAGGACATAACAGCAAAATTTAATGACTATATTCGATTGTTCTTATTTATTGCATAATTATTAACTAACTTTTTTAAAATAATTTGTATGTTATGTGTTTTTTCTTAACTTATTAATTACTTTAATTTCTATATATTTTATTTTTTTTAACATTTTGATGTTCTTTTTTTATTAAGTTAAAAACACCTAAACCATCGCATGAAAATAATTTATTAAAAATTGAAGTAAAAATAATACCATGATCATAGAAATTATTAATGAAATAAAATTATATTTTGCTGTAATATTTTGTGGATAGAATTGATTTAATTTATTATTAGACTATAATGAGTAATATCATTATTTCTTACATGCTATAGTTAATGATATAACATAATATCATTTGATTTTTTTCTATTAATTGTATAGAGATATACAGGAGAATATCTCCTGTATATCTCTATATACAGAGAACGCCCCAGAAGGGCGTTTCATGTCGCAAGTTGGGCTCTCTAAATTTTTGAGGAGGTATATTTTGACAGGTTTTAGAATTTTTTAGGAGGGCACTTTTTTACAGAGT